GTTTGCAATTTCTGATCTTTTCTAGGAGAGCCATTTTAGTGCAGAAGCCAGAAGCTCAAGTGAAGGGTGCATGTGTTTTTGTGGGGTAAATTAGTGTGGAATTATTCCCAAACAGAACTGGAAAAGCCTGGTCAAAAGTAACGTGTGACAGAATGACAGACAAGACTGTAGCCATGAAGAAAGATTTGGAAATATGGGCAAATCTGTTGGTTGTGGTGTGGAGCAAACATGAGGAAGTGGGAGGGGAGGGTTATTGAATCTTTTTGTTTTTCTGTTCATCAGCGTGGTAGGATGTTGCTCTTCACTGGGCCTTTGGCTGTGCACAGTGCATCAGAGACCAGTAAATGTGATGTTACTTTCCAGATGTGTACTGGTGCTGGGATACCCAGCTCAGGAGAGAAGTCACCCCGAACTTTGTGTGTCTGTTGAGAGATTCTTTATTAGCTCCTTTTTAAAAAAAAATGTTTTGTTTTGCTTTACAAGATATAATCAAGATGCTTCCTCTCTTCCTCTCCTTCCCTGCTGTTCACAAGATGTGAACATTCCCGCAGAAAGAAAAGTGGAAAACCAAAATGAGTAAATGCCCTGCTTTCACAAAATAGCTATTAAGGGAGCTGCTGGTTGAAATAAAATGTCCTGGTCTTTGTGCTTTGGTCACAAAAATCTCTTCCATCCCAGGTAGACTGGAGTTCCCATATCTTCTCATGGTGTGGGCCATGCCTGTCCCTTTCAGCTACCCTGTCACAGCCCACAGATGGCATCTCTGTGATGCTTCTGGAAACAGTGAGGTCTGCACAGGGATGGCTGGCATCTTGTGTCAGGTGCAAGTGGGGAGAAAAGCCTTACTTACTGGGCAGAGTTTGGTAAGCTGCCAGCCATCGCTGTGGTATTTGTTACCAGCCCACATCATGGGGAAGAACATGTGCAGTTAGCAGTTCTGCTGGCCTCGCTATTCCAGCCTGGGGCTTTTCCACACTCTGGTGAGGTCCCTTAATAAGGAGACGTCCAGCCGCTGGTGACACACCACAGCAATTAGCGTCTATTCTTTTTCAAGGGAAAGAGCAGTAAAGCCACACACCTGCTTCTGTGCTACCCTAATTACACCCCTGTGCTTTGTCAACAAGGTAAACACTATTCTTGGCTGGATCCAGCATCCTGCTGGAAGCAGCTGCCTCCCTTTCCTGCTGCAGCCTCACACCAAGAAGAGATGCTAAGAGACCCCCTGATACTTTGGGATCTCAGATGACCAGGTGATGCTTAAGAGCATAAGGAGCAGAGTGTGGGCAAGAGGGAATGGGTAATGGTTTTATAAGCTTCTTAGTACTGATTCCAAATGCCAACAGGTGAAGGGACAGAGTGTCCAGCACAAAGGGCTGACCAGCAGAGGTGCTGGGTACCAGAGGTGATCCCACTGAGCCATGCAATGCTGTGATGGAAGGGTGCTTCCAGGCTGAGCTGTAGGGAGGTGCCTGTGCCTGCAGGAGTGGAGGCTCGTGACAGGCACCGCTCCTGTGACCCGAGGGCTGCCGCCAGCTGCCCAGAGACCGGCTGAGACACGCGCAGTGGCACAGGCCAGGTAGACAAGCAGCAGCCTTGTGCCAGCAGCCGGGCAGAGCTGCCTGCAGCTGCGCTCAGGAACCACTTGCAGCCATGGCGCCGCCCCGGCGTGTGGCCCTGGCAAGGAATCGGGCTTCCCCTTGCCATCTGCAGCCAGGGGCTGGGCGGGGGCCGTGGGGGTACGCGTGGCTCCATGCTGCTGCCAGGCCTGGAGGAGAGGAGCTGCCGTGGCGCCTGCCTGCTCCCTGCACAGGCAGAGCCTCACGTCTGCTAACAATGGCTGGTGGCACAGCCCGACACGGGCTGGCAGGGGACACGGTGGGTGTGGAGAAGCACAGGCGAGCTCTGGCAGGGGAACAGTGTGCTAATTGTGATCTGAGGCTGCTCTGGATATGCGTGCTGCAGAAGCCTGTCTGTTAAGTCAGCCTTGTTTCCTCTTAACTGTTTCATCCTTTTCCTTTCCACTCCCCCCGCCTCTTCACGTCTGGGTGTATCCTTGAATGATGCCTGAGCCTGTGGATGGGTTGTCATTGGGATTTTCCTTTTTTCACTGTGTTGTATTTTTTCCTCATGGTTAATGGGTGTGCTCTGGTGCAGCCCGTGTCTCTCCTGTTCTCACGGGGATGGTCTGGTAGCCAGGCGTGGGGTGGGCACTGGTACAGAGCCCAGTCCCCTGAATAAAGGCCTTGTTCATGCTCCAGCCGTAATGAGCCTAGCAGTTTTATTTGTGTACTAACCGAATTAGCACTGAGCAGCCCTTCATGTCTGCCACAAAGTGACCATTTGTATTTGAATGAAGGCATATTTTCTGACTTCATATTAACACTTTATTCAGCAATTGTCAAGTATTTCAGTCTCCTACTCCTCACACCATTAGTGCTTGTGTCCCTTTGCTTTCTCTGGTCCATGTGCAGGGAGAAGTGGTCGGCATCAGTGTTTGCTGGCGCTCCTGGCTCTAGTGAAATTGAACTCCAGGGCCCTCAGAAAGGCAAGTTGGAAGGTGCGAAGGGAGTAGGCAAGACATACCATGGTCTACTTGTGTTATTGGATCTGGACAGGTTGAGTCTTTTATTGTCTCCATGAGCAGGCTATGTGAAGCCAAGTATGATTTGCCAGGGCATAGGGAACTGGACGTATGGGAGAAACTTTACATACAGTTGACTGGAATATAAAATGAGAATTTTCTTCCCTTTGTTTCTCACGATAGCCCTGATTCTTCTGCAGCTTATGCCTGATACTGTTGCTTGACTATTGCTATCTGCATTTTTTTATAGTGTTACTTAAATATTGATCATTTGCATCCCTAGAAGCCACAGCTTAGCTGTTTTCCCCTGTGACTGACAGGCTATAAGGAAGTGGCTGTGGTCCCATTTCACTCCTTTTGGGTTTTCTGAACTTAAAATGACAGTACTGTTACTTAGATGACATTTATACAGATGCAAAAGTGCCCTGTGCCAGGGAGGAGGAGAATCAGTGGTTCGTGAGCAGCATTGTTTGGGTCCAGAGCCCTGAGCCCCAAACCTGGGCATCACCTGAGGTGTGCTGCTGGGGAGAGGGGCAGCAGGCTGAGAGCTGGCTCCAAGACACAGCACTCCCAGGCCAGCATGCCCAGCTGGGCTGCTACCTCTACTGGACCCAAGGGTGGAAGATGCAAGCAAAGGGTGCCCATGATCCCAATGTCACAAATCAAGGCAGCGTCTGCCTGTGCCAGCAGTGATTTGTTGCGCGTGGTTGCTGGAAGCTGTGCTGGGAGGTCTGCAACCAGCTCCATGCAAACGTCTGCTGGACCTGTGTGCCCCCTGCGTTCAGGAGAGAGGGGAGCAGAGCCTGGTCTGCTGCTGGGGAAGGACTGTGGGCAGGAGAGAATGGGGCACAGCTCCAGCCTGGTGCCACCATACCTGGTGGATATGGGTCCTGTTGTGCCTTCAGCTGTGCTGGAAGGGGACCTCGGGACACTGCAGGCTGTCAATGCTGATGGGGTGACCTAGCCTGCTGCCCTGCCCAGCACCAAGCTGCAGCCAGGCAAGTGCATCGTGCCATGTGCTCCCTTCCTCACCCAGTTTCTTTGTCTTGACCTGTATGAATGAGTTGCTGTATAAGGCACGTGGGCCTGGAGCTTTGGCTGATGTGAGACGCCAGGGTGTGAGGGAATTCTGTGGCTGCACATGACCACGGCCCGGTGATATTTCCAGAAATCGCCTTGGGGCAGCAGGTGAAGAGCAGCAAGCCCAGCTCCCTCTAGAGGAATTAACTGTGTGGGAACCCCCCAGGATGTGCCTGCATGTGAGCCCTGCGAAGGGTTGCCAGCAGCTGCAGTCCAGGCTGGCACCATGGGAGGGACGGGACCTACTCACTCTCTGAAACCTGGGCTACAGGAGCTGGAGGGAGCTGAGGGGAATGTGGGGGGGAGCTTGAAAGCCAGAGGGCGGTTGGAGGTGTATTAAACAGTTATGGAGCCTGCATATCCTCTGGAACAGCAAAACCAGCTCATGTCATCTGAATGCATGGTAGCCATGTGTGAGAGCAGGTTGTTTGCCTTTGTACCACATGCAGCTCGTGTTAAGACTGGTGCAGGTGAAGGCAGAAGATGGACCTCAGATTCCTCAGGTTGGGGTCTGTTTCCCACGTGACAGTGTCTGTTCTCTCCCCATAGTGTGTGCTGGGTTGTCCACGCCCAAAAACAAATGCAGGGAGGGGCACAAGAGCAGTTCTGTTCTGGGTGCTCTTATACTCCCTGTCTGTGCTCCTTTGGAGGTTTCTGGCCATTTATGTCAATAGAAAGGAGAAGAGAAGAGGTGGTAAGTGATGAGATGGGAATAGAGTTCATTGCCTCCTGTGACATTGTGAAATACCTTGGAAGGACCACCATGAGCATTGCAGGGAAGGGACAGGTCCAACAACAAATGCATCATCTTCAGGGCTGCCTGTTCTGCCAGTGATCTTTGCAAGGTGTTAACAGATGAGAGAGACATAAATTGTCATCTTCAGTGAAATGTATTTTGCACAGTATTTGGATCACATGTAAGGATGTAGGAAAGCTCTCGGTAACAAACTTCATCTAAATACTGGTATGTGACTTGTGCTGCCTCTGGAACTATGTGTGTAATGACCTGGTGCAAGAGGCTCTTGACTTTTCCCTGTATATTCTGTGGAAGCACATTTGCTGTGTCCCCAGTGCCTCTCCTTTGTACTCATTCCACCTCAGCGGTGTTACTGGCAGCACCTATTCCCCTCAGAAACAGCCCCATAAGTTTGATTTTTTTCAGTCCTTGTGCTTGTCCTGTATTTTCAAGTGTTGGTGCAGATGTGAACTTTCTGCAGTTTCTGCTGTTGGGGTGAGCTGTGTGATGCAGTAGAAGAGCACCCAAGAAAGGCACTGTACCAACGCTGAGAAACGCATGCATCGCCTGCTACTGACTACTGCTGTATTTTTCCCTTCACAGAGTGATCGTCTCCTCATTAAAGGAGGGAGAATAGTTAACGATGACCAGTCGTTCTATGCTGACATTTATATGGAAGATGGTCTCATAAAGTAAGTATGGGACTTCCATAGCATATTATTTCCATCTCCCCTTAAATTAGCTTCAGGTTGGATAGTTATTGTTTTTTCATGGATGTGGTCTGCACCCTGCTTGCTGGCTGGGGAAACTTCACAGTTCACTTTGATTAGAGGCTCAGCTCTCCACAGTGTGTATGGGCACATATATGATGCTTGGCAGGTTTATACTGATTTGCAGCTGGGCTGGTGGCTATGAGACATAGTGTCCATTGTAGAACAAAGCTGTACCTAACTGAACCAGGAGCAAGATTTGTCTTTGACTCCTGTTTTGCCTTGTTTCAACAGTATTAGCATGAGTGACCCTACCTAACATCCCATTCGTTAGCACTACTGAGGACAGCACTGTGCCCATGTACTACCTACCTGAGATTTTCAGGAACTGCAAGCAAACCAACTTGTCTTCTATATTGATTTATCAGGGAAGACTGAAGAAGGCTTGATGAAAATAGGATTTCTGAAAGAAGAGATTTGAAGGCTAAGTGCTACATATGGGCAGATAAAGGGATTGAGGGGGCAGAGGCTGAGTAAAGGGAGATTCAGGTGACCTGTCCTGCAGGAGAGCTGGTGTGTCCAGAGAGGAGGATGTCAATTGCCCTCCAGAGAACTATCAGTAAGGGTGCTTTAAACTACGAGAAGATTATGCTGGAGCCTTTTAGGTTTGCTGTTTTCAGAGGAAGTTTTTTCAAGCTGCAACAGGGGAAGTTCAGGCTGGACATCAGGAAGAGGTTCTTCACTGAGAGGGTGGACATGCACTGGAACAGGCTCCCTGGGGATGCAGTCGTGGCACCAAGCCTGTCAGAGTTTATGAAGTGTTTGGACTGCACACTTAGTCATATGGTCTGAATTTTTGGGAAGAACTGTGTGGTGCCAGGAGTTGGACTTGATCCTTACAGGTCCTTTCCACCTGGGGATATTCTCTGATTCTATGATTCTAAGTACTTGGGGTCTAGCTGCCTTCACTGCGGCGTGGCCCTGTTGTTAGCATCCTTCAGAGGGTGGGAGGACAGCAGGTGGGTGGGAAGGTCCCGTGGAGGGAGGACTCCTGCCGTGCTCCTTGGGAGGAGCGTGAATCTGGTGCAGCCAGGCTGGGCTGTCAGATTGTGGCACTGCAGCCCACTGCAGTGCGTACCCAGGGGAGGGGGCTGTCCTTCACCCACAGGACTTTGTGGTGGGAGCAGCATTGCCAGACCCTGCCGAGCCCTGAGCTGGCCTAGCAGCTGTGGCATTATGCTGAGAAATCATCTTTCTTTGTAAGTAAGCCTCAGACTTGAGCCTTACTTAAGGTGGGCAGAAGGACAGGGAAGAGGAGAGATTAGGGGTACTGCTTACTGGACACAGGGCTGGTGTCCACTGCAGAGGTCCGCATCATGCCCATCAAACCATGCTTCTGGCCTCCCCGAGCCAGTGCCTGCCCTGGACAGCAGGTGTCAACATAGCCACCACTGCAGCGGGCGGACAGATGGCAGCCTTCCCTGGACTGCGCAAATCTCAGTTTAGGTGGGCCAGACAATCCTGGGATTCTCTGCTCAGTGAGGTGGTTTCACCCCCAGTCCCTGGGAATGAGTGGGGCGTTTCTACCAGGTCGAGGGGGTGGCCTGGCTGCTCCCCACCTGGCTTGTCGATCGGTTGTGTTGTGGCTGGTTTTCTTTTGTGTGTGCCTCACCATCTTGATGTGGTCTCATCAGGCAGATTGGAGACAATCTGATTGTCCCTGGAGGGGTCAAAACCATAGAAGCCAATGGGAAGATGGTGATCCCTGGAGGAATTGATGTCCACACTCGCCTGCAGATGCCCTACAAGGGGATGACAGCAGTGGATGATTTCTTCCAAGGGACGAAAGCGGCCCTGGCTGGTGGAACTACAATGATCAGTGAGTGCAGAAGGCAGGTCTCGTGCAAAACAGCACCTGGCAGGCTTGGGCTTTTGAGAGCAGTCTAAGTACTGATACATTCAGTACTGTGACTCTGCATGTGATCTGTTTGATGTTGGTTTACGTGTCTTCTGAAGATTTTTTTATTTTTTTAAAATGACTTTAGGAAGTCATGCAGGAGGGTACAGTCAAAGAGGGTTGTGTTGAAGTTCCTCTTTAGGGCAGGAAGAATGTACAGATGACAACTGGCAGGGAGGATTTAGGGAAAAATTTGGAGGAAGGAGAAAGATTCTCAACAGTTGGTGTCAAGTTGGTGTCATTCTCATTCTCTGGAAGAGGTAACTGGGACATAAACACATCTGATACTTGTAAAAACGGGGGAGGGCTGAGGATGGGAGCCCCTCTGGGAGCTCAGAAACTTGCAGGTTTAGTGGCAGAGACTGGGCAGCCATCTCAGCACTGATGATCTTGCAGAGACTCACTCGAGGATGCTTGCTTTCCTTGCCAGGCCAGCCTGCATTTCTCCCTGCCTGGCTGGCACCTCTAATGGAAAAGCAATTGGAACAGAAAGTGCAGCCAACAGTGCACTCCAGCTTTTGCTACCAGTAACTTGTGGTGATGCAGGTCTGGGTGGAGCAGAGCCCTGGTATCTTTTCATCTGGCTGAAGTAAAGAGGGTGGGCCCGGAAAATGAATTTTCCTGACCAATGGATGAAACATGCCTTTGGGTATTAAAATGTGAAACCTCTCAGAGCATCAGCTCTCTTCTGCTTGAGTGCTGGTTAGCAGTAAACAGTAGGGTGTGGCACAATAGAGCTTCTGAGCTCTCATGGAGGGTCTGAGCAATGAACGGACACATTTTTTTCACTTATTAAGAGTGCAGCCTTCAGGGGAGGCAGAGTGTACACATCAGGATAGCAGTGCAAACATGGACTAGCTCTTGTTAGCCCTCACCCACATCCCCAGTCAAGTGCTTTTTTGCAGTGCATTTTGGACATGCTCCTGTTCTGAGCTGGGGAAGGCATTTGCAATAAAACTCCAATCCAAATGAAACTCCTCAGTCTTAAGAATTTTTTGTTGTTCTTGCACTCTTGAAAAGTTGCCCAGTTATTTTTTTTCCTGTATGCTTTTCGTAGTCTTCTTTGTTTTAAAGATCCATGACAGCGTGCTCATCTTTTCTGTGATGTCTGGTTAGGACTAGAGGGTGAGGAGCAAGATGAAGCTGTAGGACCATTAGTGGTACTGAAGGTGCTGGGAAAGGAGATGTGCACAGGACCCTCTGCACAGCTTCAGATCCTGTGTTCTGCAGTGCTCTAGCGTCTGCAGCCACTGGTGCCCCTGAGAACCTCAAAAAGGAGTAACAGCATAACTTCTTTTCCCCAGCTAAATAAAAATAGGGCAGCGTGATGCTCAGATGACGCTGAGCAGAGGAACAGAGCAATGTCCTGGCATCGTGCGCTGCTCAGAAATAAACAGTGCTAACAAAAAAGGAAAGGGGATTCTGAGATCCTTCCCTGAAGAGTGCCAAGGGTGTGCAGTGCTTGCAGATCCAGGCTTTACTGCTGTGCAGCAGCCACAGCTGTGTGTACTGCAGGGTTCCATGGGGTGCAGGAGCAATTGTTGATCCTTCTAGTAAAAGATTGTTTTTTTTGCCATCCCCACACCAGTTCACCTTCCCCCATGGACCAAAAAAAATCAGCTGTGTAAAGTGCACTGTGGTAGGGTATGAGGTGGTGTGGTGGGCAGTAAAAGGTGCATTAGTGTTGCAGGGTGTCAGGAGACCATGTGTTAATGGGGTTGAAGTGAGGGTGAGGAGAGACAAAACCCTGCAGCTTTCAGCTGATTTCTCAGCAGAAGCCTGTAAAAGCCCCTGATCTTTTGCCAGAGGCTGTTAAGTAAAGGCTGTGTGCATTTTCCATCCAATAAATGCACTGGGAGGAGACAAGGGAAGTCATGGAGGTGATGAGGGCCTCTTAGGTGCTGTCCTGCCTAAGAGCCAAGGAGACGGATCTGGGATGGTGGAGATGCCCTGCAGCATGCAGAGCTGCAGTGGGGTGCACGTCAGGGGCACGCAGCTGGAGAAGCCCTTGTTCACAGCTCCCCTGTCCCCCTGCAGTGGACCACGTGGTGCCGGAGCCCGAGTCCAGCCTGGTGGAGGCATTTGAGAAGTGGCGTGAGTGGGCAGATGGGAAGGCCTGCTGCGACTATGCACTGCATGTGGACATCCCTCGCTGGAGCGAACGTGTCCGGCAGGAGCTGCACGCCATGGTCCAGGAGAAAGGTTTGCTGCCCTTTTCTCCTTGCTGCTGGCTGGGGGCAGGGGTCCTGGTGGAAGGGGCAGGTGGTGGATGTGCTGTCCTTGCTCCTCTGGCTGTTGAGCGTCTGCTGGGATCTTGCATGGCCCTGAGCAGGAGTCAGCATCCTGCAAATAAGCTGCCAGGGGCAGCCAACCAAAGCAGACACCCTCCTGCCTGCTCCCTGTTTCTGCCAGGGGTCTCTCCATCCAGGTCTGAATTATTCTCATGAGCTCGGGGTGTGTATGGGGAGGGAGAGCTGTTGGCTCCTTCCTCAGCATTCTCTTCTCTACTTTTCCCATAGGAGTCAACTCCTTCATGGTTTATATGGCCTACAAGGACTTGTACCAGATGTCAAACACTGAGGTAGGACCTCATTTATGGCTTTGGTTGTGTGTGATTGGACTGCTGAGTGTGAAGATGGCAGCAGTGCTGTGTAATCCTAGCTCTGGGCCTGAGGCGAGATGCCGTCCACCCTGCTTTACAGGGGCTTGCAAGCTCCTCTCTGCTTATCCCTGCTGCCTTCAGAGGTGCGAGCCTTGGCAGCGCCCCTGCTGTGCAGCTGTGAGCCACCGTGCGCTGCATATTGGCCATGCTCCTGCTTTGAGGATGGCAGGCAGAGGGGTGTATGGGGTATTACAGGGAGCATCAGCTGGGGGCAGGTGGCCTCCTGAAGGAACTGCCTGGCATGGCCATGGTTTTTGTGTGGCTGACACCAGATCCTCCAGCCTGTTCTGACCCTGTCCCTGCTGCAGCTTTCTGCTGAAGGGCACAGTGCAGGGAGCTTTAAGGTTGTGCGCAAGCCAGGATAATGTGCCTTTGTTGTAATCACTTTTTCTTATTTCCGTTTCAGCTGTATGAGATATTCAGCTGCCTGGGAGAGCTGGGTGCCATAGCTCAAGTTCATGCTGAAAATGGAGATATAATTGCACAGGTAACTACTCTTCTGGTGTGCAGGGACTGAAAGTCTCTTCCAGGCTGATTTGATATGGGGTATTTGCAACATGACACTAAAGCTGCATGGGCATGTTTTGCAAGGTTATCTCTTTGCAACTCAGCAGTGATATCAAAGGTTTTAGCAAAGTTTTCTGCTGTGAAGTATCTGGTGGGAACTGCAATAAGGAGGTTGCAAAACCTTCCAGCATAGTCTTTCAGGACATTGAATTGCATGTCAACATAGAAAAAATGGTTCGTGGTGTTTCTGTGTTTTGTTTCTGACAAGCAATATTAGGTAAAAATCCATTTCAAAGGAAAGGTAGATAACCCAAGGAGTCAGGAGGACATGTTTAGAAGCGTATTATTCTTTTGTTACAGCAAGCGTTATCATCTTCTTTTCTAAAGATGATAAAAGCTCAAATTATTTTATGGCTTATCAGATACAACCAAACTTTTCGATGTTTTTGTTCAATGAGACTGAAGGTCAGTGAAAATATTTGTGTCATTTAAAAGAAAAAAAAATGCACTGGCCAAAGTTTTCTTAAACAGGCAGTTTCTTGCAGAGCTGGAAAGACAAGCTGACAGATGAGTTGAAAGCAGATACCAGCCACTCTTTTTCTCCCTAAATGAAATTTGGAATAGACAGAACTTCTCCAGAAAATATCAGGATTTAAAAGGATCACCAGCTAATTGGGGAATTTGTTACTGCAGAGCTTTTGCAGCTTTGTCAGTGGAGAGAGTGAGGAAATGGTAACCTTGGGAAGAGAATTTTGGAATTGTGTTGCCTTTTAATGATTTTTCTCAACAGACTACTTGCATTTCAGAAGGGGAGGTGTGGAGTGGTGGGAAGAGGGCCTGGAAATGTACTGGGTGCTGTTTGTGGAGCTGAGGAGTTCTGTATGCTTTTTCCTCAATGCTGTGCTTGTTTTGTCACAGAGGTTTCAGCCAGCATCCACATGACTCTGAGTGCTCCTCGTCCCTATCCTCCCTGCAGCTGCCTCCTGCCTGCATCCATCCTCAGGATGTCAGTTGGTGTCAGCCTGAGGGCACAGCCATTGGGAGGGGTCTGCTTTTCTTGGGGGGCAGGTTCAGAGCCTGGCAACATCCCTCTGTCCTTTCCATGTTCTAGGAACAGGCCAGGATGTTGGAGATGGGAATAACCGGACCCGAGGGCCATGTGCTGAGTAGACCAGAGGAGGTAAGGTGCAGGAGGGTACCAGCCTCAGTGTACTGAAGAGCTTTCCTCACAAGCCGTAGCAGGGCATAGTGTAGCAGGGCCAAATGTCTGTGTGTGTATGTCCGCTCCCCCCATATATATATATGTTCACTAGTACAGGCAATACTGTCTGGGTAATCAGTGGTTTATGAAAGAGCAAGGCGTGCTTTTGTGACAAACATATCTCAGTCTTGTTGGAGTTTTCTAGCAGAAACAAGGGCTTCCAAGTCATCCAGAGATGAACTAAACAAACAAACAAACAACAAAACTGTATGACTGTGGCAGCACCAGGGGGTGGTTTGGGGGCATTTATAGCTGATTCCAGAGTGTAAGAAACCTGCAAAGAATTGAACAGTGAGCTTTAGTCCCCCTGAAATGTCATTGTTCATGTCTCTGAGCACAGACAGATTCTAGCTTCTTTCTGCCTAATCTCTGCTTAGGGTCTAACATGAGTTTTGAAATCAGACAGACAAAGCCATTGGTGAAAGGTGTGGGAGGGGAAGAAAGGGGGAATATCCTGGTTACAAGTCATTGTCAAGACACTAATTAGATCATTTCTAATTTTAGTTTATGAGGTATTTTTCTGTTTGGTCTATTAATCTGAGTTGAGTCTAAATTTAGATAAATTTTCTTGAGATAGCTCCCTGCCGAGAGCTGCTTTTACCTTTCTATAGCACACAAAAGAGGAAAACAATAAGAATTTGGTACAACAGCAAAGCTGAGTAGAGGAGAACAGGGATGGATTTGTATTTCAGGGTCTGCTGAAGTAAAATCAGTTGGCTTAAATAAACAGTATAAGAAGTTGACTGTATTATGGCTGGTAATGACAGATACAGCCTAGTGTAATGCAATGCCTACTGTCTTTGAAGTATGAGACAGTAAAGCATTTCCCTGTACAGAGAAAAGACTCAATATGGAATACAGTAGATCAGAGTCTCTTTGTGTAAACTGACATTTATTTTTCTGGCTTTAGACCCGTTGCCACTAGCTGGCAAGCTAACCTGCAATTACGGGATGCTGTGGTTCTGCCAGCATTTGAGAACTGTCCTATTATCGTAAGGCTGCACTGCGGTTCTTCTCGTCCAAAGATGATAAAGCATTGTTAAGTGTTTGATCTTGAAACACCATTAAAGCATAAGGCAACTGGGAACAGTGCAAGAAAGCTGTAGATACAGTCTGTCCAGCCAAATCCAGATGTTGTTACCTTTGAAAAGAAACAGTGTTGGTTGGACTCAGTGATCTTGGTTGGACTCGATGATCTTGTGGTCTCTTCCAACCTAGACGATTCTGTGATTCTGTGATTCTGTGAGTGTACCTCTTCCAGAACACCCTTGACCTGGGAAAATGTTAGGTGGAATGCAAGTGACCGGCTACCCTCCAACAAAGCTTGCCAGTTGATGTCAGGGCAGTGGGAGGGTAGCCCACAACCCCAAGGGTCTGTTCTGGAGGGACCTCAGTGGGAGTTAAAGACATGCTCTTCTACCAGGTGGTGCTGGTCATTTGGTAGTGCTGTGTGCTGCTGCTCCAAACTGTGACCCATTCTGAAGGGCATTCAGTGATTGCTCTGTTTGCTCCTCTCTTTGTGTTAAAACCCACTGAAGTCTGTAAGTGCACTGGTAAAAATCCTCTAAAAGGTCTTTAAGCAGAAGAGAAAAACTCTTCACTGTGCTGAGGGTGCCATAGACAGGCCTGCAGAAGTAAGCGAGGTGTGCATGTGTGCACGTCTGGTGCAGTGGCTCATTTAACCTGCTGCTGGGAGCACTGAGATGGCTTAAGCAGCTGCTGGCCTGCAGGCAGCAACTGCACAGTCCCTGCCTCCCCTGGGGCTTGGCTGATTGGTACGTTGTCTTTTTAAGGCTTCTGTTTTGAACTTTATCATGCTGAAGCTTGAAGCCAAGCTGCAGAGCAAATACTCAGAGAACGTCTGGAGCTGGGCTCTGGCTGAGCGAGGGCTGATGTAATAGTCCAAAGATATCCCTCATGGTGGAAATGCAGCCTGCTCTAGCAGCAGGCCAGCAAAGCCCAGCTGTCTGGAATGGCCAGCAGCTGGCTTACGGGACAGCCAGACCCTGATGGGAGCAGCCTGCCAAGGCACAGCCCACAGCACCCTGGCCACCAGCAGGGCAGTGGTGTCCAGTTAAACCAAGTGCCGCAGCAGCGAGTGCTCCAAGGGACAGACCTGTGTCAGCCTGCACAAGCCTGAGCTGTGCTGCCAGGCATGGGTGGTGGCTGGCCCTGGGCTTCTCCAGCTGTTGGCAGATCTGGAACCATGCAAGGGAACAAATGGTGGGCCCAACTCCACGCTTCCCCTGCAGTTAGTCTGCAGCTGGGGAGCCGGGGAGAGAGGGCCTGACAGCATGCCCCTCCTCACCCGCCCGTGCTCCTTTGCAGCTGCGCTGTTCTCTCTTCCAGCTGGAAGCAGAAGCTGTCTTCCGGGCCATCACCATTGCCAGCCAGACCAACTGCCCTCTCTATGTGACGAAAGTGATGAGCAAAAGTGCTGCTGACCTCATCTCGCAAGCCAGAAAAAAGGGTGAGCAGCTGCTGGTGCTGCGCACAGCCTTGCTGTTGTTGCTGGGGTCTTGTGTGGCTGGGTTCGGTGTCTCTGCGTCCTGGCTATTGGGCTCAGACCTGCACCTATGCCTCAAGCAGCCCAGAGCTTCCCCTTCTGCTGGGGAAGTTCAGGGGTTTACCCTAACATGTGAAGGGCCATGGGGATGCTGCACCAGGCCACCTGGAGCCACCTTCCGTGGCATTGTCATGCAACACCACGGTGTGGGCACGGGTTAGGACAGACCCAAGCTTTCTGTGAAGGTCTCTGTGGGGACATTCACCCCATCCACGTGCACGCAGTCGGAGATGCTGGGTACAGCCCCAGCCTCGTTGGCAGCACTGGCCCTGCAGCAGTGCTGGAGTGCAGGGACTCAGGCGTCACATCCCACCTGGACTCAGTGAACTGTGCCCCTACTCACAGCGAGGGCTGGCAGCAGCTATCTGCCAGGCTCAGGGGCATTGCTTCCTGCCAGCCCAGCCACGGCCTCCCAGCATGAAGGCAGCCATTGGCAGGGGGGGCACATTGCCAGTGTTCTTGGTGGGTCTGAATTTATTTTGGAGAATGCGGCTCTGAGGCCTTGTCTTCCTACGCCACATGCCCTCTAGGCTTGTACCATCATCAGGCTCTGTAGCCAGAGCCAGAGGGCTGGGATGGTGCTCATGTCAGCAGCAATGGCATGCAGGGTGGGCTTCTAATGCACCACAGGCCTAGTGGTCCCTCGCATCTGACCCAGTGCCTGAATTCCCAACAAGCAGTGGGGATCAGACTGCCATGGGTCCCCTACACTGTGTCCTCTCTGCCCCCTTTTCCAGGCAACGTGGTGTTTGGTGAGCCCATCACAGCCAGTCTGGGGACTGACGGGACACACTACTGGAGCAAGAACTGGGCCAAGGCTGCAGCGTTTGTGGTCTCTCCCCCGCTGAGCCCAGACCCCACAACCCCTGACTACATCAACTCCCTTCTGGCCAGGTGAGCAACAGAGGCTGGGCTGGCTGTGCCTGAACCGGTGGCTCCACCAGTGACACTGAGTGGGAGGCAGTGTGCCTTGGCCTCAAATCGACAGGGTGGAGGCCGTGGAGTATTTGGGTAGTCTAGATGTTTGTCCACCCCAAACCCCTTCACCCTAGGTATTTAATGACCTGCCTGATGAAATGGCTCTGCCTTGGAGCCATGGTGGCTTATCCCTGAGCACTGGGGGACAGGGGAGGCACCACAGTCTTAACATCAGTAATGAGGAAAACGAAACAAAACAGCAGGCAGTCATGAACTGCTTTAAACACCCTGAAGAAGGCAAAGAAATGAGGTCCAGGTAACAGGTGTCAACAACAGCATTGACCAAGCTGGAGCAGCCAGTGTGGGAACAGTGTAAGCAGCTGCCCGGGCTGCAGCTGTGCAAGAGAAAGTCTGAGGGGCACAGGTGGCACAGGCTGATGGGGACCCACTGTGCTGAATACAAAGCTGACTTTTTCCACACCTGTACAGATAAGCAGTAGCACTGCCTGCAAGGTGCACGAGCACAAGGTCTTTAAGGGCAGCTCACGTGCATCTGACAGGGATGGTAGATTTTTTTTTTTTTGTTTTTACCCCAAAGGCAGGGGGTGGGGAAGGGATCTGTTGAAAATAGAGAGCAAACAATAGAAGCACTTCAGCAATTTGCTGTGACCTTTCTCTAAGAGCTATCCTCCATCCTCTCACTGGAAAGGCACGCACTGCAGCCGGGGACACAGATCTCATTGCTGGCTGTACCCATGCACCACATGTGAGCTGTGAGCCCGGCTTGCTTGTGTTTGCTGGCTGAGTGGTGCATGTGGCGCTGGTCTGTGTTAGCTGGGGATGGCTGACACTGAGGGGGCTGTAAATGGAAATGACCTTTGAGGTAATGCTGGAAACATCTGTGATGAGATGAGCGAGGGATGTTGGGTCAGGAATAGGTGTCAGAGCAGAAGAGCATGCTAGCATAGGCCAGGTTTGTGTGCCACAGTGTGGGGGCATTGCTAGGTGTGTGTGTGTGGAGATGCTGTGGCTGGCAGAAGTGGCTATGCATTTGGGATCTGGACATCCAGCTCACCCTGTATTTTGTTGTGGTCAGTAGGTGGTCATGTGTTTCCGTTTAGTCTGGATGTATGAAATAGGTGCAGGTATCAGGGGCTGGCAGGGAAAAGTGAGCCTAGCTCCTGAACTGCCTTGTTAGTGCTTTCCTTCCACTTCAATAACAATTTTACCCCAGCCTTCAAAGGAGAGGCAGAAGCACCTCTGAATCCCTGCAGCCCACATAGGTCTATCCCACACTGTCCCAGTGCCTTCCCCAAGCTGTTTCCTTTGAGGCTGTGGCAGAAAAAGCAGCTGCAGAAGCTCCAGCTGGGCAGGGAGGCTTCTTTTCTTCCACCAGCACAAAGCTGGTGGAGATTAGGAAGCATGTTGTGTCGTCAGTCCGTGCAGTCAGTCAGACATATGGCAGAAATTATCAGAGGAAGATGGAGATTACCGGTGGATTAGGACTGATCTGTGGCCCTGTACAGAGCCACTGTGTCAGTGCCCTCCCGGGTTCAGGTCCAGGAGCCTGGCACTCGTGGCCTGTCTTGCATGGTTGCTCCAGGAGCTGGCCTGGGACCCGCTTCCTTTTTCCTGGCAGCGATGGCTTCCAGCAGCCTTGTGTCCCCGGCTCCCCGCAGCAGCTGGATGACTTCCAGCCCCTCGCCCTGCCCTGCCTGGCGGCGGCTGGCTCTGCCTATTCCTGCCCTCTGCTGTCACTGGACAGCTCAGGATGGATGGATTCCCAGGCAGAGGGTGTCTGGGTAGCAGCACTGGGCAGTGCCTGCAATGTGGCTTTTCTGAGAGTCCCAAGAGCAGTTTCTGGGAGTCCTGGCTCTGCTAACCCTGCCATCAGATTCCCATCTGGCTGCAGGGGCATTTGCTTTTGTGGCAGTGGCGTGGTAGGGATGCCACAGTGTGGGCCAGCCTGCTTACACCTTTTTGGTTGGTGCTGCTGGCTGCTGCTCCTTGTGTAGCTCACATGGTGCTGAGAGCTGCTGTTGTTGAGCTCCTGCTGGACGAAACATCACAGGCCAGAGCCCAGATACCTGGCTGGGGTGGGCTCCTTGGCTGGGTCAGCAGGCAGAGAGTGAGCAGCAGCCGCATGCAGGCTCAGATCCGTGCACTCACACTCCTGCAGCTGCTCTGCCAGATGCAGCAGTGGCCCCTTGGCAGGGGCAGGATGAGGTCCTTCCTGAGGGAGCTGTTGCTGCTAGGATGCAACAAACGGCCAGCTGCGGTGACAATCTTTGGCTCAGGATGCTCTTATTACCACCACCCCAGTGGTGACCTGCAGGTTTCGGGAAGTGCTCACTGTACGTTCAGCACTGCACAGAAAGCAGTTGGAAAAGACAACTTCACGGCAATCCCAGAGGGGACCAACGGCATAGAAGAACGGATGTCTGTCATCTGGGACAAGGCGGTGGTAAGAGCCACACCTGGGGAGGAGCGGGCGGGCTCATCAGGCACCTTGGTCCCCTGTGTCCTTGTCCCAGCAGAGCTGGGCACCCAGTGGCATTTCTCCTGTCTGTAAATTGAAATAAGCCAGACAGGAGAGGCAGCTGCCACAAGCTCAGGGTCAATGACCAGGGTCTGTGAATATACCTCTAGCTTTTGGTCTGTCTGATACCAGACCTGGGCTCTTCCTCTTCCCTTCCCCAAATGAGTGCTTTGTTCTCTTTGTGTCTGAGCAGGCCACAGGGAAGATGGATGAAAACCAGTTTGTGGCCGTGACAAGCACTAATGCTGCAAAAATCTTCAACCTGTACCCACGGAAAGGGAGAATAGCTGTGGGCTCAGACAGTGACCTGGTCATTTGGGATCCTGACGCAGTGAAGATCGTCACGGCAAAAACCCACCAGTCTGTAAGCCCTCTGCTTGTGGGTGGGGGTGCCAAGGGGGCAATGTGGGCAGTGCTGTGTGCAGGTGATCTCACTGCTGGGAGCTCAGTGCTGCCCTGCTGGTAGATTCAGGGACTGAGTCCCAGCTCAGTGATGGGTGATGGATCATATCATATGGCTGATGCAGCTGTGACAGCAGGGTGGGATGCCTGTGAGCCCCAGGCTCTGCTCGCAAGGCCCTTCTCACCCAGCCGCCTTGCTTTTCCCCTGCGCCTGGCACATGCAGGTGTAAAGACGCCTTTCTCCTGATCTGGGTTCCTCTTCTGGGTCCAATTTTTTCCTGGCTTTGCCAGCATGCTTTGTTCACAGACCTGGGTTCTGCCCTCCTCTGTTGCTGCAGTCCTTGCTTGCAGCCAGCTTCAAAGCTGTAGGTCCTGGTTCACAGTGGGAGCAGTGGTGGATCCTTGGTCTCATGGACCTGGTGAGGGACAGGAGGCCTGTGGCGCAGGGAAGGCTGTTACAGGTGTCTTCTCCCTGCCTGGGTGACTTCAGCAGTGGTGTGTGGGGACTAAGCAGCCCTCAGGGCAGGCAGTGCTCATGTTCCTCCTGACCATCATCCCTGGTTGCTGCAGGCAGCTGAATACAACATCTTTGAAGGGATGGAGCTGCGTGGCGCCCCGCTGGTTGTCATATGCCAGGGGAAGATCATGCTGGAGGACGGCAACCTGCACGTGACCCAGGGGACTGGACGCTTCCTGCCCAGCAGCCCTTTCCCTGACTATGTTTACAAGCGCATCAAGGCCAGGAGGAAGGTAAGGAGATGGGGCTGTCAGCAGATGGAGCTGTTACACTGTTAACCTGAATTGCCCTTTGTATGTCGAACATACAGTTGGGATAGCTAAGGCTTGTTGCTGGTAGTGTGCCCCCACCGGAGGCAGGACACTCGGCTGGGTCAGCAGTGGGTGATGCCTGTCCAGCAGCTCCCTTGTTGCTTTCCTGCTGCAGCAGGAGTGTGAAGGGAAATGCTGAGTTAAAAAGGAGACTGGACAAAATGGCCTTCTTCCCCAGCCACGCAGCATAAATCCGTGCCAAGGGGCTGCCTGTCACCCAGAGCCTCTGCATGCTTTTGGAGGCTGTCATGCACGTGAGCAGTGGGGTTGAGCCACCTCCATGCTGCATGGAGGTCTTGGGCACGTAGGACAGAGGGGCATGGGACTGGTAGTGTGAGTGGCCTCTTCAGTGGTACCAGGAAACCAGGGCTCTGTGCAGGACATTGGTGGTGTCAGTGGGCTCACGGGACACTCACAGGGAGTACAGCAGCTTCACTGTCTCACTTCTCTCCTGTAACAGATGGCGGAGATGCATGCTGTGCCCCGAGGCATGTATGATGGACCTGTGTTTGACCTGACCGCCACCCCCAAGGGGGGCACCCCTGCAGGGTCAACCAGGGGGTCTCCCACGCGGCAGACACCCCCCATCAGGAACCTCCATCAGTCGGGGTTCAGTCTGTCAGGTGAGCACTGCAGTGGCTGGGCTGGCAGAATGTAGTGCCCCTGCGGTGGGTGGGGGCTGAAGGGGGGGGCAGACTGCAGCCATGGCAGTGACATTGCAGCACCCTGCTCCTGCCACATGGGTCTGCTCTTGGAGGAGTGTCTACAGAGACGTTCAGGCCACTGCTGTCAGGGTCCTGCTGGAGTTGGAGGCAGAGCAGGTTGCTGCAGGCTGCCAGGAGCCCTTCAGGAAGACCCCAGCCTTACTGGTGGCTGAATCCTGTGAAGAAAATCTTCTCAACTTCACTTTCCCTCTTCCCTTTGATCTTTCTTGCCCTCTGCCAGGTACCCAGATTGATGAAGGTGTTCGCTCTGCCAGCAAGCGCATTGTTGCGCCCCCGGGAGGCCGCTCCAATATAACCTCCCTGAGCTAAACCTCCATGCTGAGAAGGAAGTAATCCCTGTACAAGCAAAGGAAGAAAAATGGTACATTGGTGTTTAAGAAGGAAAAGCAAATAAACCTGTTCTGAAGAATCAATAAGCCTCAAGCCTTATGTTTCACAAATGCTACTTGCTACCTAGCTTTAAAGATGTTGCTTCATTTTGTTTTATGCATAGCCTTAAAATTCTGTTATTGTTGTTGTGGGTTGGGATGGGTTGTGTTTTTCCTCTTCCGTTTTGTATGCATGCCGCTCAGACAGGTTGCTCGGCTCAGAGTCTGTTGTTTGTGTTGAACGCTTGTGGGATGCCGCGGTGTGCGAAGGTGGGGAGGACCGTCATGGGCACTGGCTGGGCAGGACCAGGGGTCTGTCATTTTCACCCAGATCTTGTTGGTGTTTCACCATGAAGCCCACGGGGGAGCCCAAATCTCTCTGTAACAGCTGTCACAGTGCCTCATGTAAGGTATTTCATGACTTTGTACACTTTATTAAAAAAAAGAAAAGAAAAAAACAACTGTTCCTTCAAACAGTATGTCTTTCTGGCTGGCTTTTTTTCATCTCCAGGCTGCATCTGCTTGCCTGGCCCTTGGGAGAGTAGGGACAGGGGAAGCTGTGTCCCATGGGTGGGTGGGCGCAGGGCTCCTGGAGCAGATTTGGGCTGTTTGAGCTGAGGGAGCTGCATGGCCAGAGGGAATCTCTGTAGGTATAGGCGTTGGGGACTAGTGTAGGTGTTGTGACCATCTGGCTTCTTGGGCAAAAGCAAAGGTATCAGCAAAACAGCTTGGTGCAAGTGCTGATGAAGGTTTATTCAGTTCGTCCATGTAGTCTCTGGCTGCAGCCTGACCTGGCCATTGTGGGCTGTGGCTGTCACTTGTGCAGTGACATGGACCAACTCTGCACATCACCGTGTTCAGATCTTCCCCGCTGCAGCTGGTCTGGAGGCTGTGGGCACATGTGAGTTAAATGCTTCCCTTCTATGAAGTGGTGTTTGTCAAACCAAGGGTCACAACCTTCTAAAGATTGCAAGGCATTCAAAAAAACTTGGTTGTTTTTTTAAATATTACAAAAAATAAGTGTCAATTTAGGCAGTGCTAAATACATACACTTTTTTGGGGGGGTCAAGTATTTGACCCTGAAATATTTATTTTTACGTGCCTGCAACTCAGACAGGACAAGTTATCTGTGCAGCAGTCCTTAAGGGGCCATGCCAGAAGAGTTGAGCCGGGGTGGGGAAGACTGTTCATACTTGGAAGTTTTGTGAACCTCTGCCATCAAATAATTTAAGATATTTCCCTGTTGCCTGGTAGTGATTAAGCTGAGGCTGTGCCTCTGAGAGTAGAGATTGTTTTAGAGGTCTGTGGGGAATTTTTAAAGATGCAATGTTCTCTCTTAACTGTTTGAGGAGGTTTGGTTGGTGGGCTGTTTTTTTTTTGTTTGTTTGTTAGTTTTTGGTCAGAGAGTACACCAGTACTGATGCAGCAATAGCTGTTTGCCCCAGCCAGGAGCAGCAGTTTCCTTGTCTGGGTCTGTGGTGTATGAGCCTCTCTGCTGCGGCACCAGGGTGAGGTGACTGTAGCTGTGTGCTCTGAGGTGACAGGTAGAGCTGTTGCCACAACCAGACTTGACTGAGCCCTCACAGACTCTGAACCAACTTACTGGTGAACTAATTCTGCTTGTTTTGCAGCTCCCTGGACAGAAAAGGGTAATTTTTCCCATTTGTTTGTTTCCATCCTAGCAGCATATAGTGACACCGCTGCACCCCCAGCCCTGTCCACATGCCATGCTGCAGCTATGCCAAGAGCCTGACCCCAGCAAATAAAGCAAACCAATGGGCACAGCATGTGGGTGAAGGTGATGACACCTCAGTAAACTGGTGCAGTCAGCCAGGGGACTCTGGCCAGCTGTGCCCAGGAAACAGGCTCACTGCAGAGAGTGCTGCAGCCCTCGGTCCCTGCAGCTTTCACCCAGAAGCGGCTGCACCTTGCCAGTGCACCCTCATGTGACAGCAGCAAACTGCTACAGTCCCCTAAAGCTGTGGGGCTGCTTGTTGTTACTGTGCACATCACCACGGCACCACACCAGAAGTGTGCTCAGTGCAGGCCAGAGCAGGCCCCTTCAAGTCCAAGGAGCTGCTGGCATAGCTGTGCCGGCATCCCCCCGATACCTGCCTGTTAAGAAAGATGTCTGAGCCCACAGCTGCTGCTGATGCCACCTAAGTCTATGTTACAAATTACTGCAAGAGAGGCCAGGTGGGTAGGAGAAGCAGAGAAGCTGTCCTGTGGGGGACAGAGCTGTCAGGGTGGCAGTATGGAGGCTGACACTGGGGCTGCCTTAGCACAGAGGAAGCAGGGCAGGGTCCCCAGCACCTTGCACCACACACCAGACTGCCCAGAGAGCCCATTCCCCCTGGCAGCCTACATGGGATTGCACACAGCCCTGCTGCAGCCACGCCAGGCTGCCCCAGAGATCTGCATCCCCCCAGGGCTATTCCTGGCTGGGAGGGCAGGCCTGATGTGACCCACAGAGGGCTCATGGTCTGGTCTGCGTAGGGAATGTGTGGCTGCTGCATGCTCAAGAGGAACGGAGGCGCTCCTCCCCCAGTAGTCACTGGGATTACGGCTTGCTTATGCACATGCTTAAGCCACACATTTCCCAAAATCCACAGCTCGAGATGCAGAGGGAGTCTTCATCTGGGAGAAAAGATTTAAACTGAGAGTCCAGTAAAGTCCTAGACGGTACTAGGCAGGAGGAACATCCACTCTGCCTTGCAATGCAAGTGACCTCAGACGTAACATTGGCTTTTGATTATCTGGGAAGGAACCTTTCATTTGCTGTTGTTTTTATTCAGTTAATCAGATTTAAACAGAGAGAGAAAGACAGGAAGGCACAGGGGATACAAGAACACCTCTGGGCAAGTGGGAGGCACACAGTTCATCACGCATTCATTATATTGCTGAGATTAGTAAAAACGTTGAATAACAAGGTGAAAAGTTGGGTCTGCCAAAGCATTTAAGTAATAGCATCATTCCCCGCATTACCATAATAGAGATGCTTTGGCTAATCACAGTCTTGGCAAAGGCTGCATGCACCAAGGGCACAGCTTTTACTGCAAAGAATAGCTGCTTAAATGAAGTATAAAATCAACTGTAGAGAGATGAAAACTACATATTCAAATTTATCTCTGATGTTGGAAGCCACAACTCCATCAGATTCAGAGAGCTGCAGCAGTTTAATGTGATGTTGAATTAATTTTTCAGGATGACCTGGAAAAGCTTCTGGATGCTGCTTATTTGCCATACTTGGTTGTTACCTTGTCACTACCTAATCTGTCTGTGTGCACTGATCACCCACCAGGCTGGCCCAGCTCTGTGTGAAATGGGCCAGGAAACAGCACGGTGAGAGGGCAGCTTCATGGGAAACCTTTGCTGCCTCCACCCAGATAGGGAAGGAGTTGGTCACCACCTCCAGCCCTCCACAACCAGACTTAGAGGATGTTTGCAGGAGACCTCTGCAAGCAAAGGCCATCTTCCACCTGTGCTGGTGGAGACCCTGCAGCTCAGAGCTGCCTCTTCCACCTAGAGCAATAAGCTGAGACCCCATGCAGGAATCCTGGCTCCTGAAGAGGCAGGACCCACAGATGCGACTCCCACCAGGATGAAGCTGGCAGTAACAGCTCTACTAAGGGTGCACTCCCAACCCTTCTGCTCCTGCTGGCAGTCGCCTGGCACTCAGGTCCAAGGCTGCAATACTGGCTAGCCAAGCCCAAAGGGAAGAGTGCTGAGTGGCTCAGTCACATTCCTGCCACCAAGAAAGGCAAAATAATGGGCTCTGATTCTAATTGCTGGTGGCAAACTGTTAGGGCGTTCCACAGGGCCTCCTCCACACCCAGGTCTGCGGGAGGGTGGGAGGAGGCACGATGGGGCTGTGTAGCATTATCAGGGTCATTGTGCTCAGAGGTTGTTGTTCTGGCCATCCTTGTGCATGCCTCTGCAATTCGCCAGTGCTGCATGCTCCTGGGTTTCGTTGTGCTGGTGTTGCACCCTAGGGCAGAACAGAAGGTTAAGCTGCAGGAGGGCCTGGCACTGCCTGTGAGCTGTCTGCTCCTGCACCAGCCCAGCGCCCTCCTGTGCAGGCTGCTGCTGGAGGATGATGGCTGCCCACCCATAGAGAAGACCCGAACTTCAGCAGGTCCATTATGGGCTTGGGAACAGCCTGGCCATGCTACAACCAAGCCTGCCTCCCTGTCCCTGCCCCTCCCCACCCCACTCCTGGTGGCAGGACAGCATGCAGGGTGGGGGCACTGAGGACTGAGGACAGGAGCAGCAAAGTGGTGGAAGAGGAAGAAAGTCTTTGCTGTGGACACCGAGGCCTGGGCTTGCACCTCCCTGCAGAGGCAGCACCCCTGCCGTAGCCCCGGGGGCTGACGTCCACACAAAGACGTGAAGTTTCCACGCTGGCCGGGGTGTGCGCAGGGCACCTGGCTGCAGCCACAGAACGGCGTGGGGGAGCGGGAGGCAGCGACCGCTCTAGAGCGCCTGGCCCAGGAATGTGCCTGCCACTGGGCTCTACCACCAGCTTCTGGTCCTACCCTCTGCAGCTCTGTGGTCTGGAGGCAGGACTGGTAGTACCACTAGAGATGGGAGCTGACTGCAGGACTACCAGTAACAGCCCTCGCAAGCCAGGCCATGAGCACAGGTTGTGGCCATGGGCCTGGCTGCCTCCTCATGAATGAGAACACCTCTTCAGTGCCTGGCAGCCAACAGCTGAAGCTGCTTTCACCAGTGTTTTTCTCAACAGTTTCCTCAGTAAGCTGCTAAAACCCAGTCTGCAGTTTGCTGAGGTGGCCCAAAACCCAAGTCTGCCAAAGTCTTTGTCATTGTGCCAGCATCTGTTTCACTGCCTGATTATCAATACTTACTTTTCTCTGTTGAAAACAATGAAGTCCCTCTGGAGCATCTCTAGGTGCTTTTGAAGATGGTAGGCCTTTCACATTTGAATAGAAAAATAAAAGGATGAGGAATAACAAAATAAATTCACAGTCGACACAAAAAGATTTCACAAAAGCAGCTTCAAGGATATACAAAGACATCTTTAGGTACCGAGCATCTCCAGCACTGCGGTTGGGAGAATGGAATTACAGCTCTCCTCACACAGAACTCAGTAGGTATACATGCTCCAAATTATACATTGTATATCCACAGGGACTATTCTATTGCAGAAAAAACTCAGGCTGCAAAATCCTAAAACAGTGAAGCGTACCCAAGATTTCTTGCACAATGCAGGAGGGAGGCAGCAGCTCATGAGCTATTTCATGCTCTATTTTGTGGAAGGTCTACATAAAAGCAACCATTCAGATTCTGGCTGCTTGTGTTAACTGTGTAGGGGGCTGTACTCCTAAGCAGGCATACAGATCTTGACTCAACACAGCAAGTTATCCAAGCTCTTGCTATTGGAAAGGCAAATAAGCACAAGGCTCCAGTGCCAAGGGAGGGCATGGCACACTGGGCACATGACACACATGGCACACTGCATAAAGCCAAACATAAAGCCAAACTTTATGCAGGGTCAAGTCCTGAGTTCCCAGTTGATTTTTAATGCTGGGGTGCTTTGATCAACAAGGCTCCTTTTTGCAGACAAACACATTTCCAAGTTAAGTCACCTTTAAACATGTTCTCGCCTATTCGTTCTTGAATAAATGTTCACAATTCATCCTGGCTTCATGAAACCAGACCGACCCACTCTCTGAGGTCTGCTCCCTGCACAGAGCAACTTGCCTTTGGACAGTGCTCTGGCCACCCTGCCAACTAGAGCAGCAGCAGAACAGTTGCTTTAAAGGATGTTTGCTTCCATTGGTAACAAATAAAAAAGAATCAGTTTTGCATTTGAAAAAACTATGACTGGGGGTTTGGTAAAATATATAAGGTGGTCAAAAATGCATCTTACCTTTTCATAACTGTATTAAAGAAAATCTCAGTACCATACAATTAAAGGGACAAGGAAGAATTAAGCTTTTTTTTTTTTTTTTTTTTTTTTTTTTTTTTTAAAGCCAAAGCAATCTTCATGATCTAGACAGGAAATTCTGGCATTATTGAAGCCAGTAAGAGTTGTGACACCACTTCCTGACTAGCAGAATATTTCAAACCCAGGACTTTGCTAAGCTCAGTGATACCAGCTTGTGTATTCAAAGCACTACCTCTTCCTGAGTTGCTTACGGTCCTGGATGTTTTATGTTTTTGCAGCACCTGAGACAGAACTGAAGTGAACAGAAGAACAAATTTCTACCCAGAAGAATCTCTCCAGCACCACAAAAACTGTGCAGTGTCTCTGGAGTGTTTTGCAACTTAGATACACCTAACTTCAACATTTACAGGTTACCATCCCCCCCACCTCCCACCCCCCAACACACACCTAACTGGAGATTTTAGAAAAGCAATAGTGTGTGTTGGTCCTGCTGTACCACTCTGCGGAGTACATCTGGGTAAGGAATGCAGGAGACTCTTGCGAGAAAAAATTGCCTGAAGGAATAACCATAGTCTGTTTAAACAGTTTGCTGTGGTCTTGCTAAGCAATAGGCAGCTTTCATGGAAAATGAGACTTCTCAACCATGTGCATATACCTGCTTGCTCTCACCTGTGAGGAATTGCTTTTGCTGGTGTCTTTTTCCTTTTTAGCCAAGCGCTTTTTTTTCTTATGAAGAGGTTTGGATTCTAGGATCATTTCTTCAAGTTCAAAGGTTGGGTCACAGTTCAGTCTGCCTTTCTGGAGGGGAGAGAAAGGTGGCCTGAAGTGACTAGTGCCTGTCTTGAAGTGACTCTCTCTCATAAATTGGAATGCATCTGGGAACTGAATTTTGTAAAAAATGAATTAATTACAATTGCACACGTAGCCAAAACACCTGCTGTACATCTTACATGTTTTATCAGTTTCCTCAGCCAGTGGAACATTGTCAAGGTGTGTTTGCATCATTTGAAAGAACACTTGCTCCCTTTGTGCTTACTACTTATATTCAACCCATTGGCTGCTTCAAAGTGACAGTGAGAACTGTGTTTCTTGGCTGGGTTGTGCCTCTCTCGGGAAGGTGTACAAGGTCTTGTAAAAAGGGTTTTAAAGCAATACATGTACAAGCACCACAGAGAAGACCACTGACAGAGGGGAAAAAACAAGCAGATAAATATTCATAGTTTAGTCTTTCTTTTGTTTGGCTCCAAGTGAAAACCAGTTGGAGCTACTCTGCACAGAACAATGCTCGGATTATTTTCAAAAAGGGTTATGTTACTTTTGTGCTGCTTAAATCCAATTAAAAAAGGATCAGAAACACTAATCTACTGTATTTGTTCTTTTACTATGAACAATGGGCTTGTTAGGGAGAGTCATTACAGGAAGAAACAATTATCATATAATGACTGGTGATTTCCAGGCTCATAATGAGTCTATGTCTGCTCATCATCATCATTATTATTATTATTAATTTTAATTTTTGCATTTGGAGAGCTGGTTCTAAACAGGGCTGCTAAGAAAAATGGCTCGGTGCAGGATGTCTCACAAGAAATAGCATCATGTATTTGATCTGACGTGTCAAGGGTGCTCATGGGCATGTAAAACCAAGTCTGTAACCAGAAATTCTGATAATATTATAAACTGAGCAGATCATGTTTGGGGCACCCATACTTTATAGTTACCCCCATTAGTCTTTATTACATCTGCAGGAAAGTGAAAATCCTACACTTGCCTCTTTTCCCCTTTACCTTAGGACATCTGATGTTTTTGTGTTCCCACTCTGATTTGATGCAAGGTGCAAGGGCAGCGTGTTACAGGAACTTTGACACATTAAGAACATTTCAAACTTAAAATGGCCTTACTGTGGGAATGAATTCTGGCATTATCCTTTTCTGGAGAACAGCATCCCAGTTTACATCTGACAGATATGGAAAGTCCTGGATATCTTTCAGCTGAGAAAAACGCTTATCAGGATTTGTCTCGAGCAACTGCAGTGAAGAGTGAAATGCAAGAGGTTAGAATGAGACCCCAAAACATGAAATGAAAGACTAGGTACATACAAACATGTCTGTGGTGAAGTTACACTGGGTAAAGAGCTAGAGAAGGGAAATAATGATCAGATTTTTGAGTATATGTGCGTCCATACCTGCTTTTTCACAAATGTACCAGTTTTGCCGTTGCTAGCTAGTTACTGCCCCTGCACTCTGTTCAGGTACCCAGGGACGTGCAGTGGCAACAGCATGTGGTTGCAAAGGCAAGGAGGTGCTCAAGAACATCATTGTCATTTGTATCTGAGGACAAGCTTGAGGCCTGGGTAGGTCTGCCAGTTGGGTTAGACCGTCGGTTTACTCCATACAACCAGGAGATTGGCACCAGCAACCAAACAAGTGCAAGTCACCTCTGCTAAGGGGGTGATTGCTAAAATTGTTAAAACCCATAAGCTACAGATAATTGGGGCAAGCAAGCAAACTGAAGCTATTCAAATGTTACTTGTCTGCCAAAGACAATGGTGAAGGCTCTGCTGAATAAAGCTCCAGGAAATAAAGCACAATTAACAATGCTGCATTAATACTGGGTGTTTTCAATGGCCGTCTCAACCTTCACCAGAATATACAAGTAGCTCACAATCTTTAATTCTATTTATTCTCATTTTTATTAACAACTTTTATCACCATTTTAGGAGGAAGAGCTGAGGTGGCACAGTGACTTTAAACAATTTGCCCAAGGTTAAAAGAAAAAGCATTTGTTACAGAATGGGGAACTCTTGCTTCTGCTTTCCAATTTTAATAGCATATCAGTAAATCATTCCTGTTTTCTAACTCTAGTCATGGAATATTAATATGCGTCACTCCATTGTGAAATAATGGATTCACACTGCTTATTTTCTGATTTTTATTTTTATTTTTATTTTTTTTCAACAGTGCTGTAGGAATTGCTTGTGTGGAAGGAAATGATTGAGTATTGTCTTGAAGATTGAGGATTCAGCATTGCATAAACTGATGACTGTGTGCAGCATGCAGGAAAAACAGACAATCTGCACCTTCCGGACCCCTTTGAGTCTCCATCCCATGTTAGTGCCTGCAGCTGAGCTGTGGGAGGCAAAAGCTATGCAGAGTGTGTGGTATATACAGACCAAACTAACATCACTCACAGTCCATTTCCTCCCGATGGAACTCAGTGTTTAAGTACTAACATGAGTGATGCAGATCTGCTAGGAATATTTTGCTTTGAACCTTAATACATACAAAATTTCACAGGAGATGCTTCAGCCAGGAAAATACCCTAGCTGGTTTCATTTATAATACCTATGGATGTCAGAGCAGATGCAAAGGACACTTGAAAATTTAAATTGTGACATTGCATTATTTATTCACAAGGGAGTCTGTATGGCTTGCAGCATGTTGTGGTCCAAGGGAAAAAACTCTAACATAAAAATGAATATCAACACAAAGGACATCTGCAGTAAATATACCTATATTGCTGTTAGGCTTAATGAAATTGCAGCTCCATATAATTTTAAGTATATTGAGATATTCTTCAATTTCTGTCTTGGAAATATGCTGCGTTACTGTCTCAGCAAGGAATTAATGTCTTGTTTCCATTAAAAGAGTTTGAGAGTGTTTCATTAGAGAGGACAAAATAACACTTCTCTATGCTATTTGGAACAAAACACAGTAAGTTAAGTACTATTTTATTGCTTACACTTATATGAAAATTGGAAAATTTATTCACACATTTTCCAAAAATTTTCAGCTAGTACTGTTAAGCAGAGGTCAGTATTTCAGCTTTGCTGCCATTGTATGCATACAGTGTCTGATACTGAGAAACAATAGTTTTGCTTATTGGAGATACAGTTTCACTACAAACATTATTTTCAGCTTCAAAATGATTCCAGTAATGATTTTGAAGCAATTTTGATAATAGTTTATTAATAACTAATTACAGTGGTGCATAAACTTCATGACATCAATGGATTTCAATACTACCTGCACTGCTTGCAAATCTTTTCATTATTAGCAAGAATGTTTTTTCATAATTCAAAAATTTTATGCATTTTTTTGGGGCCGAATTTGTGTACACATATATCAGCATCTACTTCTAAGTTCTAGTATAATTCTGACAAAGTTATAGAAGAACCTTTGGAAATGAAGACTGCCTGTGTCCTTAGGAGAGATACATTAGCAGCAGCCACAGTTGCCAACACAAACTCCATCACCATTAGTCCAGGAAGCAGTACTGTTAGTTGATTATTACATTAGTGTGTCTATAATATTAAAAAAACTCGATCTTTATCATATAGTAACATCTGAAAGTCACCGACACTGGGTCTGGATGCAGTTTGTAATGAATCCCCACAATTTAGTACAAAGGCCAGAGTGCCCAGTGGAGTCTTAACTCATTCCAGCAGGCTTCCAGCTATAAAACATCCACGCTCCTAAGCTGTCTGCTTCCACAGCTGCCCTTACCTTTTTGATAAGTGTCACCATTTCCTTGGACCAGGCAGCAGGGTACATTACTGTAGCTGTCTTGAACACGTGAGCCATTTCATTTGTGGAAGTGTTGGAGCGAATATGATATGGCCTCTGTGAAAAATGCAACAAGGAAAGCATTTTAATGCATCTCCTTTTCCAACTCATTTGGAAATCTTTTTAGAACAAGGTAGCTCCAAACAAAATCTCTTTGCACATTTCCCAGCTCCCCACTGAAAATCTCTCACTGTAATAAACAAAATAATAATGTCAGGAAGAACAATAATAATAATAACTAGATGTTTAAACAGTGTGACAGATAGGAGGCAAAACAAAAACTAGAGTCATTAACCAGCTTTTGTTTACTTGGCCTTGTCAACATTTGTATCTTGAAGGACTATGAAAAAGGATTAAAATATAGTGCTGCCATTAAAGCATTCCCAATATTCCTGTAAAATGCTCTTCTGTTCTCAGCTCTTCATTCACGTTGGATACAACACAAGTAAAAAGAAGCAGGATTTCTCCCAACTACCAGACCATATGAAGAAATATTGCCCCAAGAGAGGCCACAAGCCCCAGGAATGACACGAGGCTGCAGAATGACCTGCAATACAGCGGCACAGCGGACAGCAGCCTGAGCTGTCCCTCAGGACTGCTTTGTTACACACGTGGGCAGGGATGGAGTCGGGCTGCCTGCAGGCAGTGGAACACTTGGGGAGCTGAATCTGAACTGGGCAGGATGCAACTAGTGCTAGCACACAGGTGGCCCAGGTCACCTCCATGTTTAGCTCCTACCTACAGCAACGTTTCTGTCTTGCTTAAAAAGACAACGTGCAATGGAAGAGTGCTGCTGTTTGGGAAGATTTTTAATTCCCAGATTTTTACAGTATTTGGGTGGCGGGAGAGAGGGTAGGGAGAGGGAGAGGAATGCTGTCAAAAATGCATTTAAAATAATAGCTACAAACTGTGAGACGAAATCAGGTGTATTGTGCTTAACACATGCAGACACTAGATGGACCTCAAGGTCTCCTTTCACTTCCAATACAGTAACCACCACTGAAGATACCTTTTATTATGGCTGTGAGTACTAGAATACTTAACAGGGTTTCTACTTCTATCTTTGGAAATAATGCCATCAAGTTAAAAATCAATGTGATGAACAGTCCTACAATTTGTTTAAATTTACAAATAGAAAATTCACATATTATATTAACATTTTTAGAGTTACTCAACAGTTCAGACAACAGTGTCCTCTTAATGTGTACTAACTTGATCACTCACAATCTGTTCTTTATATTTATCACATATATTTTTAGTCTTTCTGCAAAGATTGATTGTAGGGTATCTTTAAAAAGTGTTTGCTCTTACTGAAAGAAGTCTTCTAGCCTCTCAAGATTTTAAACAACCTTTTGCTTAGAAGAATATAATTTAAATAATTTTATTCAGCTTTTTACACAACAGTTCCAAAACACTGATCTCATCATTTGTCTAAGAGGCCACCAACCCTACCTAGGTTAGAAGCAGAACATTGACACAACAGGCATGAATTGTACCTAATTAATAATTTACATGTTGTGGTTTGCTTTTGCTAAAACTGCTCAGTCTTATCGCAAAAGCAACAAGATTAATATTATTATTATTATTTTATTTGATTTTTATTTTTATTTCTTGCAGGATGGGAGTTCAGAGTCAACTATATTACAGACCAAACTTAAGGATTTCTCACTCATTAATCAGATGGATCCAATGGATCCACTTTTCTTGAATAGTCTGTGCCAATTGAGAAGTCCTTGGACACTGTGAGGAACTGTCACAATGAGTTACTCTGTATTGCAGTGTTTTTCTCTCTGAGCTCTTAGCTGTGATCACAAAAGTTCTGATGAAGATTTTGTTTCTGCCGCCTATACTGTAATAAACTTTAAAGCATTTAATTTAGCTTGGAACTTTCATCCCTGTTATAAGGTATTAACCTTCCCAAGAGAGTGCCTTAAGGAAAGAGAGGACAGACAGCAACAGCAGCCGTGTGCGCCGTACCCGGGCTCTGAGCAGCTCATAGGCAGTGATTCCTAGTGACCACCAGTCCACAGCGAAGGAATAGCCGGTAGGTTTTGTGGAGTTAAACATTTCAGGTGCTGTGAAATACAGAAAAGAGATCATTTGCCTTGCTCCAATCTAGAGTGGAAATCAGCAGCACAGAATGAACACCTCGTCCAGCAACACAGAGAGCATCCCTGCTATGCTGCATAAGACATAAATTAGTGTTTACCCATTACCACATTGCTGATCATTTCTGTGTTTTTCTTCAAAACAATGGTATGTGACTGGTAGATTGGCCCTTTACCAAAATACCGAGGGGGTGCACAAATTTAAGCATGGCTTCCTGGCATCAGCTCATTGTTTGGTCTTTGTCAGGCTTCACAATGGTGTCTCAGTCTTGCGGTGCAGAACATTGCAATACTGAGGAACCAAGACCAGAGGAGACCAAGCACCCGCCTGCAAACCACCCGACCCTGCACCATGACAAGTGCTGTGCAGCACATTGCTGCTGCTCCCTGCAGCTGGATGCGAACACCTGCTGATCCTGTGACCTGCTTTGCTCTCAACACCGTGCTTCAGGACCAGAGATGGCATCTGACTCGGCTGTCAGCAGAGGTTTAACCCAGATATTTGCCTGCCCTGGAAACAGGCACACTTTGAAATCTTGACCCTGCTGCCTAACTACAGGTACAATTAGCATGGTATGAAACATTTTCTGCTGTGTTAAAACCCAAACAAGCATTTCAGGTCCTCTGAGCCTTACTTTCCCTACCCGTGAAATGGGACTGAATGATTTCTACTCCTAATGGACTGTTGCAAAACTGAATTAATTGATGTGTGCAAATGATGGGGTGGCCTTGATAAATAGGTGTGCCACCACCAGTGTGACTTGAATATTCAACAATGACAAATACAATCCAATTTATGTTGATTATAGGATGCTTTATGTAACTCCCATAACCACTTAGAGATTTACCAGACCCAGGTAATTTCCTATATCACATAAAGCACTAAAACCGCTCACTGCTCTGGTGCTGCTGTGCTCCCAGTCTTGTGGTGTCTGAGATCCCTATAGCCCCAGCACAGGGATCTCCTCAATGCTCCTCTGTTCTCAAAGACAGAGAAGGAGTGACTTTTTCTGCCACGGTGCTTGCCCATTGCTCCATAGTAAATATGCTCCAGAATAAGGAATAACCCTGATTCTCTGAATCTACGCATAAAATTGGACTGAATATCTTCTCGCTTCCCTCAGAAAGCCTCTCTGCTCTTCAGCTAGTGCTTAGTAGATGTCCATGTTTGAAAGCTGTTCCCTTCCCACTCATCTCTCTTTGCTCATATTTAAAGTACTTCCATCTGGTAGAAACTAAATGTAGCCCCACACAGTGAATGAAAGCAGCTCTTTAGAAACATTAATATGCAGCATAAATGTAGACATAGTGTCAACTGCACCCTTGGTGACAAAAAGCAAATTTTAACTGAATGAAGCCTAAGTACCACAGCCTTTTAGGAGGAAGCTACCATGCTAATACAAAGTGAATGGAGGCACAGGCTAAAATACTCCCTCTCTTCCTTAGGTAATAAATTTCCTTTTTGAGATGAAGGGGAAAAAAATACTGTGCTTTATTTCGTGAGTGAGAAGGGAGGCAAGAACTACTCTAAATAAAACAAAAGTGAAACCAGGGAGCAGTAATTTCCTTCTGTGCATGTTTTCCTTTTTAAGATGATTGCACCAGGTGATGCAAAGGTGAGAGGTCACTTTGGGGCTTCTGATGAAAAGGAGAATGCTGGGTTCCTCCCCTTCCCTCAGGGATCTGGCTTTGCAGTAGCTGTATGGAGGTCTTGATATTTAGGTCTGGCAGATGGTCTTACTCTGTAAGAAAGCTTTTTGTTTTGTATTTAGTGCTAGCTGTATAGAAATCCTTCTGAGTGGTTTTGTTTCACGTAGGAATATCACACTCATGCTTTACCTAATATGAAGACTTTTATGTGTGATGTTTGTACAAGAGCTCTTTTTGCATTCACTCAGGACATTTCTCTGCAGTTTGCTTCCTGCATGCTTCAGCCTTGATTCATCCTAGGTAAGTCCATAGTGTTCCGCTTTATGTTTACCAGCTGTGCTTGTGTGGTAAGTATCCAGTGGGTCTTCTACTACCTGAATAGCCAGCTTCACTGGTCTGACTAGTAAGCAAGCCTGAGTAAGGTTCCTGTACTCCTATTCGAAAGGGGAAAATAATAAGAAGGACTTTTTTTTTAAATTTATTTATTTTTTATTTTTTTTGAGTAGTAGGGAAACAAGGTCTGTTCAGGGAGCAAGGACTGTGTGTCTTTCTTCCCTGCATGTGTACTGATCTGCTCACAAAAACTGTTCCTACACCTGGCTCAACACTTCAGTGAAGCAACTGAGTGCTCCAGAGCCACCTTGCCCCAGAGGACATCCCTTTGTGCACCCTGACAGCTGCCAGAGCAGTTTTCCTGCCTGGGACTAGTTCCATGCCATTGCCTGGAGGTTAAAAGCTTCATAAAAAATGCAATTTTTAGAAATCAAAGAAAGAAGAGGAAAGGGAGGGCTTGTAACCATAACAACCAACCTGGCTACTCGGATCCGTGGGGACCTGGAGGCTGGTGCCCAGCTCCCACAGTGAGAGCACTAGCTCCACGTGCCGCAGGTGGCTGCCTCCATGGCCCTGCAGAGCCCTGTTGGGGCTGCAGGGACTTGCTTGGAACCGCCAAATCCCGTATCAACAACAGAGGGACAATGGGAGAAGTTTTCAGAAAGACTGAAATACAGGTTCAGCATTTATCTCCCTGATGTGGTAGCCACATTTGCACCAGCTGTGCCTCCTTTGTGCAGCTGAGGCTTTGTCCCTCACCACTGTGCTCTGGAGCCCCCTGCACATTGGCCTGCTGGTATCTGGCACATGGAAAGAGCAAGTTCCCATCCCCTCACCACTCCTAAGCACAGGGTGAAACTAATTCTTAAAGCAGCTAGCTTATATAAAAATGCAAATTATGAGTCAGTGATGCAGCAGTGTAAAGCTTGTATTCATTCCCTCACTAAATCAGTACAAGCCTTTGTGCTTCATTTCCCTTCTCAAAGGTAGTAAGAGCATTTCATCACTAACAGAAAGAAAAAAAGAGATCTGTGGAAATAAATGGGTTGCCCAGGGTGGTGTCACTGTCCCTGGGGTATTCGAGGAAAGGTTGGATGTGGTGCTTAGGGACATGGTATAGTGGGTGATATTGGGAGTAGGGTGATGGTTGGACCAGATGATCTTGAAGGTCTTTTCCAACCTGAATGATTCTATGATTCTACTATTTCATGACTTGGCACTGCTTGTGACATGCTCTGAGATCCCAGGCGTGTAACTATCTTAATTTATCATCGAAACTAAGCTGTACAGCACGGTACAATGCTACTAAAATTAGTGTTTGTAATAGGCTTGTTTTGTTCAGCTGTGTGCAGTTGGTGCCTGCCACACCTCGTCCAGCTGCACAGGGGTGTGTGTGGGAGGTCCTCTGCAGCACTAGCTGGGTAGTTTCTCATGTCACACAGATGTGTCTTTTGTTACATACCAGGAACAAGAATTCAAACTTGCATCACAAAGGGCTTCAGTTGTATCCCACTGCAGCTGACAAATCAGGCCCATAAGATGGCAATTCAAGAACGTGTAATTTTAATCAGTTCTTACCCATATATGGCTTTGTGCCGGCAATTGTGGAAACTTGCATTTCTTTAGTCAGCATCGTGGCAATATTGAAATCAGTGATGTGCACGTGTCCTGAAAGAGAGGTTAATGTGTAAGCAGATTTGCTTTAATTTTACACAAGAAATAGCCTTGAATCAGAAGCTTACAGTAAGATACTCCATGAAAAGGTATTTCCAGAAAAAAAATAAATCTGGTGCCAGAAGTTACAGAAAGTATTTCAGCTTACAGGTTGCTTACAGATGTATCTTGTTAGATTAAGATGATTTTGCTCTCCAGAGGAAAAAAAAGATTGGAGTTCTCCAACTAGTCACCTAATAATGATTTTTTTTTTTTTTTTTTTTACAAAATTTTGGAAAAAGGGAACTTACCTCTCCTTACCTAAAGTCAACCTTTTTTTTTTTTTTTTTTTTTTTTTTTTTTTTTTTTTTTTTAAAAAAAATCTCTGATATTTTTGAGCAATAAGAATGTGATATTTTTAGCCTATGTTATATCTCGATTTCTTATCTCATGAGTTCTGTGCTGGTGTAAAACGATATGCTACCAAATTGTCTCTTCTGATGAAAGTCATTCTAAAGGGAATTTCCCAACCTTTCTCATTTATTTCCATCCTTAACTTCATAGCTTCGTTTCAGTGCTGCTGGAAGACTTTTTTTTTTTTTTTTTCCTGGGCTCAAATTCTAACCTGTTTTAAACTGTAAGTGGTTGGAAGAGGAAGAGAGGACATTATATACCATGTTTGTAATCTCTTCAGTGATCACTTCAGAGTAGTTTAAGAATCAATAATCTTCTGTTCATAGAACCAAGTGACCTTTAATACATCACTAATGGAAACAGTTGCTGCAGGCTTGAAAATAAAATGTAACTTTCAGGCAGACACTTACTGTGGTTTTGGTTTGGTCTGTGAAAGGACATGGAAGTACCAGCACAGTAGCACAACTGAATGGTGACTGCCATGCAACGTTGTCTTGAACATCACCTATTTGTGCCCTTGATGGGAAAATGGGACTGGTGTACGATGTGGAAAAGCCCATATGGGAAACAGAAGTCCAGGGTTTCTGTCAGTTAGCACTTCCTCACTTTGCACTATGTACGTTGTGCAATACACATCTGCCAGCACAGAGGACTTCAGCAGGTAGGTATTTATCTGCTGCAAATGTAAGAGGGTGACCAGCGTAAAAGGACAGAGATGTGCAGTCTGAGTGTAACAAGAGAAGAAAGAAATGAAGCAGGAAGTGTTACAAAACTAGAGGAGAAAAAACATTCTCATTTATAGTCTGTAAATGTAAATTTATCAATGCTTATTTTTTAATATAGTAACTTTAGTATAGCAGTTATAAAATAGGCACCACTTGGAGAAAGAAAAAACAAAAATCAAACAAACTAAAAACAAAACAAAAACAGCCTTGAAGCATCAGCTTATGCTGTTCAAGAAGCCCAGTGTCCTGCTGGACAGAATGGGGCTCCCTGACTGCATCCCAGGCTGGTGACTCTGGCTCGTGCAGGGCGAGGACCTGCCTCAGAAGCAGCTCCCAGCTAAGCTGAGGGCTGGAACGTAGGGGAGCAGCAAGTGCTAAGCCTATGCCCAGGAAAGGGAGGAATGGAAGATGTGGAATGGGTCGCAGCAACAGCAGCAAAACCACATGAGACTTCTACAACATGCTTTGTCTGCACAGCCTTCATCAAGGCTGCTCAAAGCACAACACCCTGTTCCCAATGTTTCCATAGGAAGCATGTTTTATTGTGAGCAACTACTGTCTTTCTAAAGCACAACTTCAGCCTTTTCAAAGCTGAGCTAAAGATAACTACCTGACATGTCCTATTCTGCAGGAACTAGCAAGCATCATCCTCTTAAAAGGACTAGTAAGAAAACCTACAGGATGAACTCTATCCACACCTGTTGGTGCACTGATACTGCTTTCTGCCTTCATAATTGTGCCTCCTGGCACAAGTCAGCTTATTTTAATGATGTTTGCATTTAGAGAGGATTTTCCAGTGTTTCCAAGTAGGGTTAGCAGTGGCTTTGTTGATCCCAGGTACTAAGCACCTCTTATTTTTCCTCCTTTGAGGATGTTTTCAGAATGGAACAAAATATATATTACAACAAGCAAAAGATCCTTGCACAAGAAATCATTAATATCCCCTTATAGGGTAGGAATGTTTTCTGTTATTGCTGCTGCAATATGCACAACTGCTGCGTACAAGCTGAAAAGGAAATAAAAAGAGTGGATGTGATTTGCAGGGATATGAAAGGAAATACATCCTCCTAGCTCGTCTGCTCATTTACTTGGTGGTGGTGGTGTTTGTTTGTTTGTGAGCACTTAATTTGTTACTGCTTATTCCCTAAACTCGTATCAGTGAGCAGACTAATTATGTATAGCCGTATGGGCAATCAATACAAGGCTGACTTCACTGAAGTGAATTTCTTTGAACCTTGTGGGTTGGTGTAGCCTAATTCTTCTGAATAAATGCGGATAGTCTTTTCTTCTTCCTGACCTCATGCATTTTCTCTTAAGGCACTGAACCTGTTTGTTCCTGGCAGAGCTGGACTCGTTATCAAAACCATCAGAAGTGTTGTTTATTGAATTTTGCAGACTCATCACCCTCCTCTGTAATAACAGGGAGTGGCTGAATTGCTGTTGTTTCATTTACCACAGAGGAACAAATGAAAGTGGCTCTTACCAATGGAGATACTATGACAATGCTTCCCTCAGACATTAGCTTCAGCAGCTAGAAATTCACTTCTGTTTAATTTTCTTAAGTAAAATGACATCACCTTCATATGGCTAAAAGTTGATGCTTTGGTAGTGAGCACCTGTTATTTTCTCTGGATGCTGTGAAGCATTTAAGGAAATCTTTACAATTGGGCCTAGATATTTTATGTGGGAACAGTGATACCAATTTGCCTGCTGCAAGCATCTGATCTAGCTGGGAAAATTTGGGAAACAGTACAGTTCGTGATACCACCTAAAAAGACTGTATTGCATCCATTGTTCCTGCCTGTGTCTCTTCAGTGATAGGTGCACAGTGTGTAAAACACTGGAGCCCCCCTCATCCCTATGCCAAATTAGCCATGGTCAGGGTGCAAAATGTACCCTAGTGCAGGCACAACCAAACCGTGTGTCTGGCAGCTCATAGCACAGGTGTGCACACAGGTACAGCTTCTCTACAGATGTTCTAGGAGTGGGAACAGATTTCTGTCAGGACCAGCCTGCTGCGCATCATACAAATCGGGGCACAGTCAGTGTCTAGCTGTATGTCTTGAAGGACAAGGACCACCCCTTTGTCAGGCACCAGCCTCCTGCCTTGCACAGAGCCCTGGTGTGCACAGCTCCAGGCACTGCTGCTGGGCATGCATGGGGCAGAGGAGACCTGTGTTGTAAAGATCATGCCTCAGCCACTGAACTCCCACCTCCATATCAGCATCTGGCAAAGATGAACACATCCTTCAGCCCCTGCCAATGAATTTATCATCCAGCTTTTCAGCAGTTTCATCTTCCATGATTAGGCTGTCTCAGAACCAGAAAAAGACATGTAGTGCTCACCAGGACGGCTAATCTGCTAACAGCCCCATCTAGGTCAGACCTTTCTCTGCACCCATGTGCTCATAGGCTGTTAGTCCCACCAACACGTAGATTTCCTTAGTAAGTTTGTGATGCTTGTCAGGGTCAAGTCTGAAGGAAAAAATAAAACTTGAGGTCCCTCTGGTTAACCATACGAACTGCTGGAAGACCACGTGTGGGATGAGCATGCCTCTCACATGCTGTCTTTCATTGCTTTACAGAATCAGCCAGGTCCTTGCTTCCTTCACTTCCCAGAAAAGAAGGGGCATCAAAACACTGGGGAGTAATTGAAAGAAAAGGATTACTTATAATTTTCTTGTCTGAATATGTCCTCTCTGTCCTTGCACTGTTTTTTCTTTCATCTCTGTCTCTCATTCCACTTTGTGGGGAGCTGTTTTGATATATATGAATCACAGACTTATTAAGAATTTAATATTCTAAGCATAAATATCCCCTTCTCTCAATGTATCCTTTAAATGATTCACTTCAAAAAATCACAAGTTTTTTAAACTAGCCCACTTGGGAACATATGAAATCATGCCCTTTAGACTTCAGGAAGAAGGCTCAGCGTGGTGTGATAAGGCTGAACATTACGTTGCTGAACTGCAGCATTACAGGCCAGAGGGGACTGGACAAACAGAGACATCAGCTACTGGTAGACAAGAGGGGAATGCTGGGTTCTGATGTTGAGCTTTAGGGTCAAACTCTAAGCCTCATGTTTTCTTGATTGCTCAAAATCTCTAAGTGCTTCCAGTTTCTAAATAATATATTATTTCCATGTAATGCCCTGTTATGCATTAGGACAAATAATTGTTATTTAATTTAGCATCTCTTACTACATAATTCCTTCACCATTCTAGAATACCTTTTGTGGAGGAAAAAAAAAAAGGTTTCTGTAAACTCAGATAACATTTTAAAGAATGTGAAACTAGAGATAGTAAATGTTGCAGAGTATGAGGTCTCTCAGAATGTGCTGTAACTTAATTGAGGTTAGAGAGCAAATGCCACAAACTAAGTCTCTGGGACCTGGCAGTTAAGCTCCTATTACAGCCATAAGCTCCCATCACATTCCTGTTGCCGTGTTGGCATGAATTCACTCATTTTAGCTCTGCTCTAGAGATCCTTTGGGTAGTGGAATAAGAAATAATATTGTGCAAAGCCACTACAAGGTTCTTGGAAAAAAAAAATCTCAATTTTACTAGAGATATAACTGAGTTTTTCTTCAGTTTTATTAGACAAAGGACCTGGCCCAAACCTCCTGAGGAATTAGTCACTATTCCTGGAAACTGCCATCTGTTATATTCTTTTATTCCCAGGTGAGCTGTGCTGCCATTGAGACAAATCGATAGACTTACCACTAAAGGAGGAAATCACTTTGTGCTTGGAATGACTGTTGAAGGTGGTCATCTACTGAAGATTTTTTCATTTTGGGACTTGATCCAAATCTCTAACAACTGCTTTATTTATTGTGCAGAAAGACATTTCTCTTATATTCTCCTTTACTTAGGGCTCACTTCAATTTCTTAGCTGAAATTGATAGGGTACTACAGGATGTCACTGACCAGATAGACAGAGGCAAACACATCAGGTGTGTGTTATGTTTGTGACAGTCAGCAGCAGGGTGACACGTCAGTCTGAAATCATGAGAAGCACTGGCACTATCAACAGTCTGAAACAGCCTCCTACTCAAAGGCTAGGTGGTGTGTGCGAGGGCTCCTTTGTCCCTGTCAGCAGTCAACACCAACAAAGAGGGCACTGCACTTTGCAACAGACACAAAAGTCTTCCACTCATAAGCATGGGAGGTGAAGAGTGACAGCAGGGGAAGGCACTTCACAGCTGGAGGATGGGCCAAAGGGCAGAGCTGGAAGGTAAGAGGAGTCAAGAGATGAAAGACTGGAATCTGACTGTTGAAGGCTTTCAGGTGTTTTATGCTCTGAGGGGACTGGTCTCAATCAAAAACATTACAAAAGCCGATTAGTAGATTGCACGTGCTTTCTGGAAAGTTATGAAAGCCTGGTGAAGGAAGAGGAGAGGGAATGGGGACCTGCAGCTTCATTCCATAGGGAAGGAGACACAAAAACAAGCTCAACCTATGAGGCTAAATGTAGATAAACATACCCTGATAACAGCTGCTCAGGGGACAGAAGTCAAACTGCGTGCACAAAGCTTTCTGTATGCATGAGAGAACACATCTTTGGGTGAAGATGCAGCAGGAAAAGAAATAGAACAAGAAGTCATAGTCAGAAGGACACTGAAGTCAGGGGTACAGTCACAGAAAATAACTCTGAAAACTCTGCAGCAGACAGTTAAAATATCTCTGTGACTAGAGAATAGGCTCAGAAATTAACCCAAATTGCAGTGTCATTACGGAGTTTTGTAGACGATGTGCTGCTGAGCTGAATGCAGCTGCAGAGGCATGCAGCACCTCTCTTCCCTTTGTCCTTCCCTCTTCGGCAAAAGGCTGACCTACATTCCAGTGGCTCCCACTCAGGTGATCCTGCAGTTCGTGGGGGAAGCTGCCCAGGGAGCGCGGCCCAGCCCAGCACATCCTGCCCCAGCAGACACTGCCAGCCTGTGCTGGGAGCGGCTTTGCTGACAGCTCCTCAATAAATAATGAAAGTAGAGGTCATATGCGAAGCTCCTAGAGCCTGGGCTCAGGTGTTCCTGGCAGGCCTAGATACACATGTGAACTGTGTCAATTCTGCAAGAGCATCAGGATCCACATTAAAGCCTCTGAAATGATAATACATTAAGATATGGTGCACTCCTGTACTCTTCTCTTGAAAATGTCTCCTGACATTTTCTCTTGAAGTGGCTTACTGTCATTGCTAATGAAGATTTCTCGCAACAGATCAGTTACATGGATTTTCCAGAAAATAATCAATGACAAAATGCTTTTTTAATGACCTAAAAGCTGATAAATATCAGAACAACTCTTCATGGTGGCTGCTTTGCTAGGACACAAAGAGTGTCCAGAGATCTCACAAGACTATAGTAAGGGTTTTTCCTGAGACAAGACTAAGGGAAGATTTATAGCAACACCTGTAATATACCCAAGCCCATACCTTCTCCGGAGCTCCCTCTGAAAGTCAAATGCTTTAGGAAGAAGAAAGTACCTGAACGAAGATGATCTGTTCAATCATAATACAATCTGTTCATGAACATACATTACATACAGTCCATAATTGCATGTACATTTGCATTCAAATGATTACATTTCAAGTAAATTTTAAGCAACAGCAAAGGTCTTAAAATAAGGTTTGTTAGGCAATTGACCCCAAGTAGCATGGAATGCATCAAACCTGCCAATGACTTCTAGAGATGTTTTTGAGTCAGTCAGAGGAGGTGTTGATTAAACACTAACGCACCCTTAGAAATAACACAGCAATGAGGGGTGCATAATGCCCTGAATGTACACAATGCTGCTGCTCAGGAAGTAAAAGACATCAGCCAAAACACAAAAGGATATTTTCTGTTCCAAACTGCTTGTGAACTGAGAGAGAAAGCAACACAAAATGAGGAAAACAGCAAACACCTAAAATTCAGCATGGACATACTATTCCTGTCTCTACCTTTATGCATATGCATGACCACAGAGAAGTGGCACTTACCATGCTCATCCAGCAAAATGTTGTCAGGCTTGATATCTCTAAGAAAGAGGAAAGAGGAAACTGCCATTAGCTTATGGAAGTGATGTGAAACAAGGCTGCAGATACTTTATGAATACCCAAGCTCTAGAGGGACCTACTTCAATTATGCCCTAGAAGGTTCTTTGCTTGGGTTCTTCAGCTCTAATGTTTCTGCAAGGTTTGATTTCAGATATGATAAGAGAACAACTAATCAAGCAATAAAAACAGAAATGAAGGTACAGTCATATAACTGAAGTGTAGCCTAGCTGCTAACAGCACCTGCTTCTGCAACGCTACAGCTTATTTTTATTTTATTTTTTTTTTCTTCTAATTCTGCTTCAGTACTGTATTGAAAGCTGTTCCCCATGTATCCAGTAAAAATCAAATGTTGGAGCAAAGTAAACAAATGGCACCTATTGTCCTTACTGCATCATGGGAGTCCTTTAGCTGCAGGTGAAACAATAGAGCAACATAACAAGGAAGGTGCTCCTGTGTCTAAACAAGATATTTCTTCAGTGATGGATAAAAGCTTCTGCTATGAAAGGTGCAAACACAGGAAGGCTCTTGACAAAAAAAAATGTTTTTCACTTGTGGATGTACTGACCGGCACTGATCTAAGCCAAACATACAAAAAGCTGCAGCAATCTGGACTTTCTGTTTCATTTCTATGGAAGAGTTTCCAGATTTGCATCCTGAATTAATTTTCTACCCCAGAAACAGCTTTTTGAGGAAAATACCTCAACTACTTTGTGTGATGGCTTGGAAATCTTATGGGCACTGTTATTAATACTAACTGTAAAACCTTCTTGGTCAGCTATTAATGTATATTTTTCATACTCCATTATGAAAAAAGTTATTTTTCATAGAACAGTGACATTTGACATAAAAGTGTTTCTTCTTCTCTAAGCAAAAGGAAGCTACTTGGAGTAAATTGCTAATTCTGAGTTTTACATTCAAAGTTCAACTAGTTTTATTAATTTTCATGTAAAATAAAAACAAACCCCACCAACTTGCCTGAAGCGTTGCCACAAAGCGTTTGGCAGCTCTGTGCGCTTTCTTGCGTTTTTGGTGGTTTGAGAGTAGTAGGGTTTTAGCTAGAGACATTGACTCAGTAACCTTGAACCACATTTGCCATAATTCCCAAAATAGTGCTCTGAAAGGTGCAGAGGGCAGTCCAGATTGTACCAACATCCATGTTTAGAGATGCTCCAGTCAGAGATACAGACTCACTACCAAGCACTACGCTGGGTAGTCACGGGGTGGTAGCAATATGGGTAAGACGGGGAGGAAAAACAGCTCTGAGAGTCGTCCCACTTCGTTTGGAATTTTATTTATTAATGGTTTTATTTTCTTCAGGAGTAGAAAAATAGTCCATATTGCTTTTAATCTTCTTTTTTCCTCTAGACTATCAAAACAAAACAAACAATAACAACAACAACACCACACAGTAGGGAAATTCATCATGGCTCCACATCTACTATACAGCAGTTACCAATCTCGGGCACATTACTAAATATCTCACGCTTGGGGAAACAGCAAAAAATGAGGTACAAAGGTTTTAAAACAAAAATATTAAAGTAAAAAAAAAAAAAAAAAGAGGATGCACAAAATACTCTTTGTATTCTACTGTATAAACTGACAATGTAGCAATAAGTTATGAAAATAGCGACATCTCTATAAGGGAGTAAATGGAAGGCATAATTTTAACAAAATCCATCTATCTATGTATGCACTGTAGAGAAAAACACTTCTTAGTCTGCAAAAACATATGGTCTTGTTTCTTCTGTTTCTCACTAGAAAGTAAACAGACTGGAAACAGGAACATTTCATTTTCTTTGATGAAACTTCAAGTGCGTAGCAGACCTGATCTCACACAAACAACTTCAACATTCTTGTTTTAGAAACAAATGTGTTCCTTGCAGGTTTTCCTCCCTGATGAAAGCAAAACACCAACAGTAAAACCACCTACCACAATGCTGTAAAGAAATGCTTTCCATTGAAGGGAGAACATGTACACCTGATACACCTACTGTATACACCTGAATGACTTTACAAGCCATTACCTGCTTTTAATGAGCTAATTACATCAGTGCCCATCTGCCTGCTATCAGGCACCTTGAAGTTTCAAGGCACCTTGCAGCTGCTAAATGCATCGAGCAGGCACAAGTACAACAGCCCTTCACCCTCCTGATGCTTTCCTCAGGCCTAGGGCGTTAATGTGAAGAATGAGTGGGTTTCAGATTTTATCTTTAAAACTCCAAAAGATAAAGTTTGAATTTGCCTGACCACCTGCAATCAAGAAAAGACAATGTATCCAATTACCATATAATACCTTTCAGCTCTCATCCAGACCCTTTCCTGTGGGATACAAACAAACACCAGGTACCATCCCTGTGTCCCCATCACATACAGACTTTTCTTTAGAGCCTGAATTGTGTGGATCTTCTATCCCCTTAGTCCTGGAAAGCTACTGAGTGTAATGTATTACTAGTAGAAAAGGACTTCCTCCTGCTGTTTCTCATACACCTGTGTCCAACTCAGTTTGTTTAGACCAAGCATACAGCAAAAGGATTTACCTCTGGCTGTCCAGGACAAAGGCAGCTTAGTCTGCATTTCACAATGTTTAATTCATGCTCATTCATTATTTGGTGCCTGGGAGCAGGTGCAGGGTGGAGGAGACCGCCACCGTGTCCTCACCACCATGCACCTGCTTTGTTTTCCAGGTGCCCCCAGTGCTCTTGGCTGGAGCCTGAATGGGACAGTCAACATGGCCTGCTTGCCACGGTCAGATGCATCACAGAGTGGAAATCTATACAGGTATGAAAACAAAACAAGAAACATGAAAAATAAGACTCCTGAGAAAGTGGGAGCTATGCACAATAAGGTCAAAATGAGAGAAAACCATTTTTAGTCTGCTGGGGTTCTCCACAAGTGAGGAGGGCACATTGTTACAGGAGTACTGAGGTGGCCTTTTTGCTTTCACATCTCAGAAATGGCAAGCACATGCTGCTTTACAGAAGTAAGTGTAAATCTTCATCAGCCCTTGAACAGAGCATTCCTTACCTTGCCAAGGACCACAATCGTTTCGATTTTAAGTTTGTATCATGCTTTATTTTTATGCCTCACAAGAATGTGCTTCCTGGAATGCCATTTACAAATACAGTAATCTTTTGCCCTCTTTTTTTAGCCCATTGCTACTGCCTCCCTGCTTACAACCCTATTAGCAGATACTAACCCAAAAGACTTGAACACCTGAATTCTACATCACTTAATACATCAGGAGCAGGAAACGTAAGCGTGTCTGTTCGTCTGCTTGGAGCCAAACCTTGCCTTTCAAATCAGGGAAAAGCTCTAACCTGGCCTGATAGCTGGTTGTTATTTTGCCTGAGTAAGCCCTGCAGCTTTTGCAACATTTTTCTCTAATATCTAAATCCCTACCTAAAATGTTGTCCACTATAGGTTTTCCCCTTTGCCACGTTTTCCTGGAGTCCACAGTGACCTGAAACTAGTGTGGACCTAGCATGTATGGGTTTGCAAACACTTTTTTTGAGGACACTGACCCACAGAAAATAAAGGTATATAGGAAGAACTGCAATCCCAAGAACAATTATTTGCTGGAGTGAATGAGTAACTTGAGTTTTGCCTATTTATTCAAGCTGCAGATACAGCCCACCATAAATGCAGCATACTAGGTTATTCTCTTACTTTGATCAAGACAGTTTTATATAGAACAGCAAGGTTTCTGATTTCCTCCCTGGCATTACATTTAGCATAATTTTATAGCTTGTCTAAATTAAATTGCATTTGGCTTCAAGGAATTAAAAACAAACTAATAATTTCTTCATTTGGGAACAGTGTCAGGGAACAGCCTTTTTGATGAAGAGAAGTTACAAAACATTTAGAATGGGGTTGCGAGGAAGAGTGTCCTGCTGCTGGTCTGCACTATGTGAACTACTGCATAAGCACAAATTAGTAATTCAGCTGAAAACTAAAAAAGTCTTTAAAGGAAAAATATATGCTCTGACATTAGTAATTAATTTATATTAAATTATTCTCTTAAAAGATGGTTGCAATTATTAGGACATCAAGTAAGAAAAATCCCAGAGAGTAAATTACAGGTAGTTTTGTTGGTTTTACAGGTATTTTTTAAAGCAGAAAACCACATCCACTAAATTTTGAACATTACTATTCATCTGAGACTCTAGAAGAAAGCAAAAGATGTAAGCCAGAGGAGAAGACCTGGCAGTTCAAGGCTCCTATCAAGACCACCTATTTTCTTTTTCTTTCCCTTACTTTCCACTCCTGTTCCACTGCATCATGTGCTGCAGCAGTGCATAAGAGCTTTTACAGCTTTTCTCTGCCACCTTCCAAGAGGCTCTTTTTACATCAGAGGAAGCGCAGCAGTGATGTGAGGTAGCTGCAGGCCTTCAAACGTGCTAGAAGAGCTCAAATATTTTATCACTGAACCTGAAAAATCTTAGTGGCCAAAAAGAGACTCTCAACACTTCTAGAAAGGTATTTAAACTCATGCAGAAAAAGTTGTGCTTGGTCCCATTTTGGGTCTTTCAATGTGGTACAGAGAGGGAAGCAGAAGGGTCAATATACGACAACAGAAGAATTCTGAATCCAGATGCTTATCCTTCGCAGACCGGAACAGGCTTTAATGAGGTACAGTTAACTAAACCTTTTAGAGACAGCTTTTTGCAGGATCAGCAAACAATCAAATACACTTTATTATAGCTATCCCAGAAGGAGAAATAACATGTTCTCTGCTGCAGAAGTATATGAAATACTTTTTTTTTCCTGAAAAACCTAGTATTTTACATAAAAGCAAACGTTTGTAGGAGAAGATTTTGTTTAAATCTTAACTTCCTATTTGTCCTTTCAGATCACAGAGGAAAAGATCAGCCTCTTCCACAGTCTATGAACTTCTATCCACCTATGAATTTGCCTGCTGACCTGTGGATGATGCGTCTGCTCTGGAGGTAGTCAAGGGCCAGTGCCAGCTCACAGATGAAGAGTTTCACGGTGCCTTCTTGGAATCGCACATTTTGTTGAAGATGGTAACGCAGGTCCCCTCCAAGCAGCAGGTCTACAACCATGAACATATCTTCCTCATCTTGGAATGAGTACCTAAAAAAGCATAAACATGGCTCAAGGAATATTTACATATATATAAAGAACATGTTAAAAAACGACATGTGGTACCTCTGCGAATGCTCGTAATTTCATGGAAATTCTTCACTTGGTATCACTAAATAAAGGAGAAATATCTTACCATAGATTTACCAAGAAGGGGTGTTCCAGGCCCTGCATAATCTGCAGCTCCTTAAAAACATTTCTCACTTCATTTCGCTCCAGACACTTCTGTTTATTCATGTATTTCATGGCATACATTTTCTTGGTATCATTCTTTTGTACAACACACACCTAAGTGAGTAAATCAAGTGATAAAACAGAGATGATTTGTCAGTAAATTAACACAGTTGCCTGAGCAGTCTCCAGGTACCCTTAACAAAGCCCACGTTGAAAAGTCCCAGCTCTATGCACTTCTCTGCAGCTCTGGACATTGCCAGTGAATACCTCATCCCATTTTCAGCTGAAGAAACAATTTTTGTGGGGGAACATGAGGGGAGGGAATTTATCACCACAAAGGCAGGAGACAGGGAATCACAGGAGTAAACATTTAATTTATTAGCAGTAATAAATCTTGATCATGTTCCATCAAATGGTCCACCCCCCCAAAGCAGTTACTGTTTTCAGTTGAAGAGGCCTTTCCACCACAGAACTACAGGCTGGGAACTGGGGAGCAGCATGTGAATTTCTCCCTTCTTCATTCAGCTAAGCTTCATTCAGCTTGCTATGAACCTTGGCCTTTGTTTGAGCACATTGGATTTTGAATTTTAACCCTTCTTAAAGTTATATTTTACCAAATCTAGAAAGAAATGTTGCTTTGAAGAAAAACTTGGAGTTAGTAAGTGTGCAAAACATAAAATTTAGGCTAGATTTTTCAGATTTGTTTCTAAAACAGTTTGAGTTTGAAATGAAATTACGAAGTTTCAGTCAACCTTTTATGTTTCACTACCAAGTAAGTCTCTTTGTCTAGAGATTTGTCTTACTCTGTACATAAAACCCTATTTTGGCATCACTGTGTTCAGTGTTGCTTTGCTGCAGAATCTTAGAAAATGTTTATCCAGAAACATAGCAAAATTCATCTCATTTGATTTATCAGTATCTCATTTTAATCTCCTGAAATCCATTTTGTGGCTATGAAACTGATGAGGAGTCAGGTTCTGATTCTTTCTTGTTTACCATGAGTTGAAGCTCAGGTCAAATCCTGTTGACAATGCAGTATTTAATTTCTTTCTCTCACATGATCCTGTCTAATTTGCCCATTTCTCAGTTAAGTTTCTAGTTGTCCAAATGCTGATTAGCTCACAAAATACTTACTTTTCCAAAGCTGCCCTTCCCAATAGCTCGCAAAATTTCAAAATGGTCAAAGGTGACTGCAAGAAAGAGCAAACATTCAAACATTAAATGGCTGAGCAACAGTTTGATGAAATTACAGTATTTCTACTTTTTCTTTATGAGAGAAGAGATTAAAAAAATGAAGGATATCCTAGCAACTTTCGGTTGGTTTTGGAGATGCGTCTCTTTTTAGTCCCTTCCCTTCCTCCCTCTTCTCTCCTGCCTTTCTCATTTTTATGCTGACACCAGGACACCGCATTCTTGAAGTGGGTCTCGTGCCTGGCGGGCCACCAGCTGGATCATCCCAGCTGCCAGCACCGTTCTCACAGCCAGCATGCGGGGCTGCAGGGGACACGGCTGCTTCCGAGTGGCCTCTCTGGTGGTTTGGTCTTAGGCACCAGACGACATGGGGGCTGCAGAAGGCAATGGACCCTGTGCCAGGAGCCGGGAGCCTGTGGAGAAATGCTGTCCTCTGTGGTGAGGGCAATGAGGGCCAGTTCAACACTGACCTCAGCTCAGCTGGGTGTGCCCTGTGGCATCCCTCCTTTCTTTGCTGGGGCTGACCAGCACCAGCAGGGATGTCAGCTCATTTAATAATGTGCTAGAAGGCAACTGTCCAGATCACACAGGCAGGCACAGCTCCTGGAAATACCTGTCCTCCATTGCCTCCAGGAGGGCTGACCCACGGCTCTTCCCATCACTGCCCTGTACCAGCACAATTGTTCTGCAGGTAAAGCCCCACCAGACAGGACTTGGCACCAAGTCCGGCACCATGCTAAATGGTGCAAATCCAGATGAGTTAAGCCAGCAGCCTGAGTTTGCATGTTAACACCCTCTACCTCTATTATCTTTTAATACAAATGCTTTCATTAATATGTTAACACCTTCTACCTCCTCATTTTTAATATTAATGTTTTCAGTAATGTTTAAACACTGATCTGTAACCAAATTGGTTCTAAGAGAGCTAAATTGCATATTTTTATTTAAGACTGTTAAACTAGGTATGATCACACTTCAACTGCTCTCTGTTTTAGCTCTCATATCATCCCACATTTTCACAGTGAGCCAACCCAGAGTCTCACTTCCAAACAGGACAGAAATTGGTGGTGTCCAAGGTCAGGTACCAAACACATGCATTTCATACTGAATCGACATCTACAGATTTGAAAAGCCTCATTTCACTGCCTGATTGCATCTAAAACAATGAAAAACCCAACCACTTGCCATTCATAGAGGAAATTCACATGATATGCCAACTCAAACAAATAAATTATGTTTAAGAGATGCCAAGGAGTATAATACAACTGCTATAAAGGACCACATAAAGCATAAGCATGAAATACCATTCTGATGGCATATATAAACCCAGATTTAAGGAACAATATTTAGATTAAAAATATAGAACCTAACTAGCCATGAAAAATGTCCTCATCAGAGATAAGTCAGCCCTGCCAAAATCCCTAAGCTCCCCCTGCCAAGTGGAAGTCAATGAGTCAGGGGACATCAGTCCTCACAGTCCTGTCATCCGTCCCCATACAGCTAGCACAACACCACAGGGTCTGTTACACTCATCTTCTTCCTTTTGCCACTGTAATTTGCCCCATTTTCATTATGTTATTGCTCTCCTTTCCTTCTTTGCTTGGCAGCCTCCAACACACAAGTGGTATTGCAGGATTGGGAACGCTACTGCAAGTCCCTCAGTATCTGGGAGCTAAACTGGGCACAGAGCCAGGCACAGAAACAAAGACACATCTAAAGCTCTACTCCATCCTTTAATTTAATTTAAAGAGGGAAAAGCTGATGAGAGACTACAGAGGACACTGGCTGAAGACCACCAAATGATGTATGTCCATCTTGCCTACTCATTGTCCTCACCCACTATCTATGGGCTTTGAGTTCTGAAAAATTTGTTCAGCTCAGAGAACACATGGCTGCCACCCTCAGGGATGCTTTCCACACCCTTTTGCCCAGAAGCTGCAAAACCAAAATCCAGCTTTTAACATGATCTCATCCTGACTATATCAAGAGCTGAGATCACCTTGCAGCACTGAACCTTCTGTCTGGTTATTACATTTTCTTTTCATCTCACTAACCTGTTATCCACAACTGTGCCTATTCAGATGGAACACTGAGAGGAAAACAATGCTGCCATCCCACTTCACTGCAGACAAAGGCCCTTCTTTCCATCTCAAAGTCCATCTCAAAAACAAAACAACAACAAAAAAACACAACAAAACAAACAAAAACCTGTGTGTCAGGCACCCTCCTGCCCTGCCACCTGCCCCAGTGGCAGCAGCAGCCACGGCGTTGAGCCCGGGGGCTGTGGGATGTGCTCGCATACACCAGGGCACACTAATGCCCAAAGCGCCCCTACTGTGCTCTGCTTTGCACAGGCCCTGGGGAGCAGTCTGCCCGCGGCACAACTCAGGGGCTGCAGCCTGCTCACCAGTGACTGCAGTCTGGTGGAAACCTGCTGGTGTCACGGGGCGGGCAAGTGGTTGTGCTGCTTCCTGCTTGACCCAGCAGTTCTTAATTGACTATTTACTTCAATTTGAACTGGAATTAGAATGACAGGAGTGTGACATCTAAGGTGATACACTCTCTGGTCACAAATTTTCCCAGATAATGGAAAAGCTAATAGGGTAAATATGAAAATCAAACAAAAATTAGAAGCCCTTGTCTTTTTTTATTTGGGAACAACAGGCTGAACAGCCACACACATCCCGCTCTCATGACAAGCACAGCAGCACAGAGCGTGAGAGCAGCAGCAATTCCCCAGCTCCCTCTGTGCACAGCCCCCTAGATGCAGTGAGCGATCTCTCTGCAGGGTGACTAACCCAGGAGTATAGGGAAGGGTAGGAACCACAGTGGGGTAACCTGCACAGCAAGGGGAACAAGCATCATTTTTCCCTTTGCCAAACGGCCTTGTGCACCAGTAGCTGCATACAGATACCCGACCCTAGCAGTGGGACAGTTGCAGCCATGGGCTGAAGGCTTTGATGCCTCTCAGGATAGTCACTGCATTTCAGTGCTGCTCTTCTGGGTGAAGAGTTCCTCCTTCTCTCTTCAAGGACTTCTTTCTTCAAGGAGCTGAGTGACAAAGACCAAAGCTTGGCCAACATCCCCTTACATCCACCCAGTTTTTAGGGCTCCCCAGTTGATGACACTGCATGGAGCCTATGGTAGAATTCTGTCAATGCCATTCCCGACACTCAGGACCATAACAGACCTCCCTCCCCTCAAATAGGATCATGGAGGTCCTCCACCCCTCCCAGAGTGCTTCAGGGTGACACGATGTCCCGAGGCTCTCTGCCTGTGCTCCGCTGCCCACATCACTGCCCAACTCCTCATTACATCTTGCTGCCCTGTCCTCTGCTGATCGAGTTTCTGAGAGAAGTAAACACAACCATGTACATCCAGAGTCAGAGCTGGTTGAGAATTTCAGTTTATCCAAGCCTACATTTCTTAAAGCTAACCATTATAATAATGTTATGATGGGAAGCAATGTAGCTTTTTTAAAAATTTATTTATTTATTTTATATAAACATGACCTCCAAAACAAGTGAGAATGGGGGAAGTATGATTAACAAAGCTACAGAGATGGTGGCCAAGGCAGCAGGAAAACTGAGGATGTGTCCCTCACAGCCATCTCTACAAGCACTACTCCTTCCCCATGTAGGTGAGCACAGTGTACCTGCAAGACACATCAAGGCGAGGTGGCCTCAGAGTGAAAGGAGGAAGAGGCATGTGGGGACCCTGAGCTTATTGCTGTCTACAGATTTCCTGAAGAATCACAGGCAAGTTATTGAATATAAAGGTGTTATGTCTCTATAAGCTGTGCCAGCAAACTTCAGCGCAAGGAAATCATGATCAGATCTGCCCTAAACACCCTTCCCCTGACATGTGTCACACTCAGCACTTTGCTGGGCCTGATAAACATCACACATTTTCCACAAAGTGCTGAAACAAACTGAGAGCTTAATTTGGGAAGAATGGGAGTTACCCAGGACAAACCAACCATTTTAACAATTCACAATTGTTTAATATTTGATTGGAATTCTTTTCTTTGGGACAATAGTTTACATGAGTCATCTATATTCTTGCATATTTTACTTCTATTTGTGTTTATTTGTATTTGTCCACATATGTATTTTAATATTGTACTCATGTGGAAGACCAAATGGAAGTTAGTAAGCTGACTAATACAGTAGAAAACACAAATTTATGGAACAATCTTTTAATGACTGTCTCTACAATCTTGGCAGCACGGTAACACCAGTCTCCAAGGCTGCTCTCAGCAATGCACCCTCCTGTTCCATGCTACCAAGCCCAGTCTCTCCAAGTGGCTCTCCTGCCAAGCCCAAAGCAGGGATGGGACATGCATTGCTCAAGCTGTCTTCCCACCACACTTCATACCAGTCCTCCTTGGGCTGTGATCCCCAAAACAAGCCTTCACTGCCTCTGGAACTGCAATTTCTTCCCTGCCCTTGAACTGCTTGGCAGTGTCCCAGGGACAGCTCAAAAACCATAGCTCTCCTGGAGAGCTGCTCACCCAGTGCCCAGCTGCAGGACGGAGGTGAAAGGACCACCCCACCTCTGGCCGCACCTCTGCAGCAGGCCAAAGGCTGGGGGCTGCCGCAGACCACGGCCCTCCTGTGCTTAACCGAGATGCCTGGATGTCTGCAGTCCCACCACAGCAGCTGGCAGCGGCTCTCAGTTGTGTTGCCCTTGGGATATCCTATTCACTGGTAAACTTTTCAGTCCCAGACACCAGCTGGGAAAAGCTCTTACCGTCTTCATTTTCATCAAAGGGTGGTGACTTGCTGGAGGTGTTTGCACCCATGGTGCGTTCTGCCCAGGCTCGTCTCTCTCCCACTCCTCTCTGTTACATTACCAAAGCCAGCACACAGAGGATGGCGCTGTCCTGAGGGTCACTCCTAGTAGATCTGTGCAGTGCTCTGCTGGTGCATCCTGAAGAAGGCAGGAAGCAAAAATGTGTCATCACTGAGGATTAGGAAGCACTTTTCAGCCTATAAATTTCTTGCTGGATGTTGAGTGCAGTACAGACAAAACTGACCAGCACTCAGCTCCTTCCCAGCCAACTTTGGCTTCACCTGCATCACTCAGTCAGGAGTTCAGCTCTAGCTTTGTGCCCTAGGTAAGGACAATAACCTTAAAACAAGTGCCAAAGCTTGTCTGAAGCTTAAAGCTACCCCTGCATTTGTGTGTATTCCTGAACTAGGCTGCACTGATGTAAAACTCATCCCCAGTATCACAATCCTGGGAATCAAACTGCAGATCAGACTGTAGCACCTGCAAAAAGTGACAAATGGCCGAATGCGTAGTGGGATCTGCCCTCCCTGAGTCAGCTGGAGCCAAGAGGTCTTCCAGCCCTCCCAAAATCTCCCCAGAACTCCCAAGAGGCATACAGAACAAACCAGAAGCAGCTCACAGGGCACCCTCTGTGAGGCATTTTACAAAGCCAATTGCAGCCCACCCGTGCTGCCCCTGTGATTCACACACAACTCACTGTTCCCAGCAAAGAGCTTCCCACGGAAGCATGCATTTCTCAAACGCTCTCCCCTGCCCTAAGGGAAAACAAACAAACAAACAAACAAACAAATAAACAGACAAACACAAAACAATGCAAACTATTCAAAAATGTAAATTCTTGAGTTCTCATCTTGGATGACTTAAACAAGATCAAAGAATAAAACAAATGCAGCAAGTGTTCGTGATATGTGGCAATGCCTCTGAACGGAACAGACTGAGACAACAATCTGGAACAAAACTACATGAGCACTTCTTTCCAAGCTCCAAAACTTACTATTCAGAACGAAAATGCTTTAATAGCCATAAATCAGGTCTGCATACTGATGCTTCTACATCCCAGTGATCTTATTGGTGGCAGCCAAGGTCAGTTGCTCAGGAAAGCTTTCTTGTATAGGAGTCTGTAGTTTAATTTATTTTTGAATATACGTTGATATAAAAGTTTTCAGGGGTGGGGAGTGCAAGGTCCTTGCAGTTAAGCTAGTCTGGATAATAATTACTAGGATTTATATCCTTATAAGAGGTACCCAGGGTACAGTAATGGTAAATCTTATCCCATTTCACATTGAAACTTCACAGAATTATTAAAATCATTATTTTCAGTAGGGCTAAGACTACTAATGCTTTCACCTTAACTTTACTCTTGGTCGGATCACTGGCTCCAGCCAGCAGCAGTCCCCAAGTCTCCCCAGTCAGTTTGATGACTACGATAGAGTTTTTACCGGCAGGGGAACGCAGCTGGCCAGGTGTGCCCATGCACCTGCCTCCGGAGCCGGGGCAGCACATCCTCATGCTTCCAAGCAGGTTTTATCCTCAACAGATAAATGTAAAACGAAAGCAAAGCAGAGGAAATGTAAGCACTGGAGTGTCATCTCCAAGCTTCTGCTCTCCCTCTGCTAGCAGGCTGTGCTGCCTAACAGGGAAAAGAGCTCAGCAGGATTAAGAAAGGGTTTAGGTGTTTATACAAAAGGTGAGCAGCCAGTTACAGGGACCAGGAATAATTTCTCTCATCACCTCTTCATTGCTTAAGCAAGGGGGTGCTGTCACTGTTCTGCTGAGCAGCTGAAACCGGTCAGTAACACAACAATAATAGTTATATTACTTTAGTTCCAGCATGTCTGTCCCAGAGAAACTGAAGATTATTCTGAACTCTTCTGGAGCTACGGGGGAGTTCAGCGAAGGAGAGCAGGTATTGCTCGGTGTCGCCTTTGTGTCTCACCCTGTTGCAGCCCTTCCTCTGGCAGCATGGCCATGCCACTTCCCCAGTGCAGAAAATGACGAAGTTATTGCCCGTGACAAGGCAAATATTCCAAGCCCGTGGAACGGGCAGTGTCCACCCCCCGCAGAACTCAGGGGGAAAGCGTGGGGGACGCAGACCCACACGGGGCTGACGCGGACCCGCCGGGAGCCCCGGGGACGCAAGGAAAGAAGGCGCTTACCTGGGGGGAGGCGGCGGGGGGGGGACTAGCGGGCCGGGGTCCGCGCTGCTCCGCGGGCACGGCGGGTCCCCAAGCGCCCTGCGGATCAGGGCTGCTTAGGGGAAGGACGGTGCCCGGTGATCATCCCTCCGCAGCGGAAACCCTTCTGCCGATTAGAGATGTTTGTGAACCGTCTCCTTCGTTGCTGCCTGGTCTGGGTTTTGCCTCTTTTTAACTCGTATGGTGCCGCAGATTTTTACTGCTCTTAATAAGGGAAGGGCCAGGATCTGAAAGCCCCTCCCACGTGCGCTATGTCTCAAAGCAGGGGATTGCCCTCTTCGAGAAGGGGTCTGTCCTACAAGGTGCTGAGCTCAGCCCGGCTCTTAATTCCTTAACTTTAAGCACTGCCCTTCTTTCTCCCTTATTTTCTCGGTGTGAAGTTGAGCAGGACCCTGTCAGAGACAGCCTGAGTTACTTTGCTGTTTGCAAGGCCGAGTCCCAGCAGGCACCCCTGTCTCCTCACCCAAATCCATTCCCGTTTGAAAGGCTGCTGTAAAAGGGCAGAGGCCACATTTCTCATCCCGTTGCCCATATTCTTTGGACACTGCCTTTTCTCTCATTCACAGGTGCTTGGCATAGCCTCAGACTCCTGAGACTCCTATGGAGAGCAGTTCTTCCTCCAGGACAGCTAGAGTAAGTAATCCAATTTTAACTGTATTCATATTATTTGGAGAAGAACCAATGAGCTGAAACACAGCTTGGGTTTCCCTAAAATGATCCGAATTGTAGTCAAATGCACAAAACGAAATCGTCTGAAAAATAAACATGAGTGCTGTGGAAAAAGAAAGAGGCTAGATTCACTGCAGAGCTGGACCGGGGACACTCATCATTACCTGGCCCAGAGGTAGGAACATTGATCTAAATTTTGAAAAAATTTGCCTTAAGTCATTAGAAGTCTTTTGTAAACATTTCTTAAGATTTTATTTTGAACAAAAACCAGCAGCCAGAACAAAACAGAGTGAAATCAGAACTGTGAAGGTTACAAAATATTAATTCAGAGCTGTTCTCTGCAGAGCAGGTCGTCTGGAGAGCTTCAATATCTCTGTATGTAGACAGAAATAAAATACAAGAGCAGAATTCCAGAAAAGGCCAAAAACCCAACAAATTAGAGGCCCAGAAGGCAGCTCTCCCAAAACCATTTCTGAGGAACAGACTCCCTTTGCCCCACTGAGCCAGCAGGCCACACGCTCCAGTGCCACTGCAGCTCCTAAGCTGCTGCTGGGGAGGGAAGGAGAAATGCACTGCTCAGCTTGGTCCCCATGGAAAGGTGACATGGGATTAATTTTCTGTGGTAAACTGAGAGCCTAATCCCCTTCAGTGGAACTATGCTCAATCTCCAAAAAAAGAGGGCACATGTAAAAAAATGCAAAAAAAAAAAAAAAAAAAAAAAAAAAAATCCCGCAGTTTTCTTAAGAAAGAAATGGAGCTTTCTTATTTTGTCAACTCAAAAATATGAGGCATGTCCTCAGCACAGCATTTTTATTTTATTTTATTTTTTTCAGTGGGAATAGATAAAGAGACTTTGTTCGAAAAGCAGACATCCATTTACTGATCTAATTCACCTACCTATGTAACATGCTACGAACCTACTGCACAAAAAAGGGGCATTGAGTACAGACAGATTAGGGAATAATGAAGTGCCGTTCTCTTTCCCATTATCTGCAGTCAGACACATTCTTCTTTCACTTCTATTGACACCCATTTGTCCAACTTCAGAATTTGAGGAAAATGCTGGAAATAGGCTTGCTCTTATATATGAGATATATATGCTCTTATCTATATGAGATCCAGAAATGTCACTGCTGAATCTAGAGAACTACTTGCCTGAAAGGCAAATGTAGCTACCACCTAGCCTCTGTGTACCTACCAGCTACATCTCCAAAACAGACTTCAAAGCTGGTGTCAGAATCATTTGTGTAGGTTTTCCGCAGGGTTCTTATAACTGACTCACAATAATAAAACCAACACTTCTCAGCAAGTAGATCCAAGAGTGTACAACTGAGAGGAGGTCTGGATTCAGGCACGCAGCAGCAGCAGAAACCCTGTCCCACTGCAGGCTCCCACTGTGCAAGGACGTCTCAGGGAACCAGGGAAAGGTGTGCTCCTGGTCGCGCATCAGATTTGGGAAGCAGAAATGAATTTTCTGGAGGCTTCAGCGTGGAGAGCAGACGGCAGTGGGACATGCCTGTGTGAGCCACACCAGGCAGAAACTCAGGAAGTGATGCAGGTGGCGTGAGGTAGAACAGCCACTGCCAGCTTCCCTCCTGCTTGGTGTCACCGGAGTAACACTGCTCTCGACAGTAGAGCTCTGGTGCCTTCTAACGGAGAAGAGGCAAAGCTGGTCTCACTTCTCTGAAAGTGCGACAAATCAAGTGTGCTCTGTGAAGTCAGTGGCACACCAAAATCCTTCCCCTCTCGCCCGCTGGCTTGCACACATGACAGACCCCAAAAGCTCTGCAAAGGCCAAGAGAGAAGAACATCCAATTATCTCCACAGAATTAACACATGTATATTTTAACTCTTCTAGTTGTAACTATTCAGCAAACTACTTTTTTTTTTTTTCTTTTTTTTTTTTTTTTCCAAGTAACAAACTCATTTTTAGCAATGGCTTACAAGTTCAGCCTCATTCACAGTATGTATTTCCTGTAACCATAAGCCCTAAAATAACTGAAATTTTGATCAGCATCCGTATATCAGCTGTAGCTCTCTGGTGGTGTTTAGCATTTAGCATCTCTATACATCAGATTTGGGTATCCGTTGCTGGCATCTTACGGTTAAAGCGGGCTCACTTTCACGAGCACCCAAATTCTACTGAATTAGAGGCGTTTTGAATGCTTTGCAATTCTCATGGGTGGCCGCTTGTTCAAAGGCAGAGACACGGGCACGCACAGCTGGCAGGCTGAGCGTTGCGATCTTCAGCGGGTGTCCCCGAGCTGTCGCCCCGCAGAGGGCTCCCGCAGCCCCCCCGCCGCCGCCAGGGGTCCCCGCAGAGCCGCGGCGCGCCCGGCCAGAGCGGGGAGGAGCGCGGTGGCTCCTCTGAAGGGTCTGTGGAAGCCGTCAGAGGCAGGATTTGCTGAAAAACAAACAAACAACTAAAGAGCTAAAGAAAAGCAAAATCCTTAGTCTCCTGAGAGGAGACGCCTTCTGCTGGGACTCAGTTTTGAGTATGACCGCACAAAAATATCACTGTCTTCAGCACATCCTGTGAAACTGTGTCAACATCACGCATTTTCTTGAGTAAAAGGCTTTGGAAAGCTCTAGACAAGGATGGATAAACTAAACAATGAAAAAAAACAGCAACTTTTAGGGGTTGGAGAGTTTCTTAGTACATAGTTGACAGATACAATTACTAACTTCAGCCTCAAATGTCAAAATGGTCCACCTCTAGAAATGCCTTGGGGGTGTAGGGTGCTGCTGAGAGCGATGAACATTGCACAGAAGATCGAGGCAGCTGGGGGTCACAGATGCAGCTCTGTGCTTCATGTCACTGTGGCACTGTAAATAGTACTTCATGAGAGGAGAATCCAGGGCAGGTCTGTTATTCAAGCCTGAGAGTCAAGCAGCAAATCTGAAAGCGACAGATCCTCACAGAGAGACAGCAGCTGATTTGCAAAGTGCTGTTTTCTACTCCAGTATCTCCAAGAGGGGAATCGGACTGACTGGAGGCTTCTTTGCCTTTCTAGTTTTGATTTGTGACAGAATTGTAAGAAATCATGGTGAAGGGCATCACATTTTCCATACGTGTTTTCAGCTACCTTTAACCTGAAAAAGGAGCACATAAGAAACTGCAGTGTTAATGTAGTAGCAAGGTTAACTTTTTTTTTTTCCTTTTTTTTTTTTTTTTTTTTCCCCCAATTAGAAGAAATATGCAATGCTCCCCCTTCCAGCAGCCATCAGAGAAAGAAATGCCATTATGGCAAAAATAGTACCAATATTTTTTTTTTCACTTGTGAACTTTTGTCATTCAGGAAACCCTACCAATACCACTTTTGCAGATTGCTTTTTTTTTTTTTAATAATAATAATTATTTTTTTTTTTATTTCCAGCCTATATAACAGAGGAGGTTTTGGGTATAAGGCAATATAGCAAGTTAAAATACATCATTTGATAAAGTTCCCAGGCTTTTACAGACATTCTGGGTAACACATGTCCCAGATGAGCAGTGAGATCCCAGGGGACCCATCATGGAAGCGGAGCACACTGCCAGGGGAGCTCTGAGCAGAAGCTGGAGGACTGAACAGCTGGCTCTGCAGCTCCCTGCATCCCAAAGACTCCAAACCTTTAATTCTGCTGCAGATCAGAGATGACTCTCATGACAATACTTCCCGAGGGAGCCAGGGAGAACCCAAAACCAGCACACCATTCAAAATATGATTTCACTTTTCCTAGAGAACATAATGCAAAGAATTACTACAGAACTTTTATTGACCCTGAGCCAGGATTGCTTCCCTTCCCCAATCCCCTGACCCGTTCTAGCTCTCCTCCCTCCCTCTCCCTTAATGGAAATGTAAATATACAAGTCATATATATCAGATGGTGCCCCACTCAGACTACAAGCTGATGTCCTGCGTATTAGCAGGGTACATTTCACATATTGAGGTCTACAGAGGAGCATCATGTAGCACTCTCTCTTCTCCTCCTCATCTGCCCTTCAGAAAATACACATATGACAAGCTCTTACTGCTGCATCATGATGCTCTTACTGCTGCATCATGATGCTGTTCTGCAGGCAAAACCCAGGACCTTTTTAGTCCTGGAACATTTTTAACCCCTCTGGTGTGAGCTGTGGTTTCCAGTGGGATACCATCTTCAAGTAGTTTGCTTTGATTCGTGTTCTTCCTGATGCATTATTGCAGGTAGCGGTGCCTACTGGGCACACGTAAGATGAGAAATCCTGCCAGAAATCTTATTAATATAGAATCATAGAACGGTTTGGGTTAGAAGCGACCTTAAAGGTCATTTAATTCTACAACTCCTGACCTGGACAGGGACACCTAGCACTAGATCAGGTTGCTCAAATATCAATATATCTGTGTGTATGAACCTGAATGAGGGTTACAGCTGAGATGCAGTTGATCATCTTCCTAAGTTTCCAGTACTAAGTCCATAAACCTGAAAGCCACATGTATATCCCAAAATCTCTCTTTGGTGTAGCATAAACAGTAAATGCAAGATTAATTAACGTGAATCCTAACACTCTCACTTTAGGCTCTCTTAACTTCAGCATTGTTTGCACAGTAGGTTATGCTACACATGTTCCCTTCCTCTAGTTTGCACAGGCCATCCCTACTTATATCTGGAAAAATTTGAGTCTGTTTTCTGATATGCATAGATATGAAAGGAAATCCACTTCAGTGTATTTCTCTCTCTCTCTCTCGCCTCATAATGTCATCTAATCTTCATTTTCTTGATTTAAAAAAAAATGTTTATAATAGTTGCTCTTTGAAAAAAAAAATAGGGAAAAAATCAGAGCATGGAAACATAAATTTTAAGTACGTGTCCACAGAAATGAACACTTTATGACTAACTGTGTGGGAAAAAATAATCAGTGATTTTGTAATAGTTCTTCTCCAAGGAGCTAAAAAATTAACAATTACTCTGATAAATACTGAGATCAGTTTTACAGCAGTGAAAACAGATGCACACCAAAGTCAGTTCTGTTTTATGGTTACATCACGTGTCTTTAGGTGGGCTGGAAAGTAAAATTATTGCTACTTCCCCTCCTTTTAACTTCTACATATCCCTCTCAGACACATGGGGGAACATTCTCTTTCTGCGTGCATCACCCAGTCCCACCAGCATCAATAGACTGTCAATTCAAATAGATGCTCTCCCACTGTTACACAACATTCATGACTCATTTAGTTACAGAACTGGATGCAATGCAGTTAGCAGCTGACATAAGAAGACCATTCAATATTCATGTGCAGCTTTTCCCCAAGCACATTTGATTTTGAGGAGTTCCTCAACTCCTTAGAATAAAAATTCCTTTTTTTTTTTTTTTTTTTTTTTTTTTTAATACATCATAATCACAATACTTCGCTAGTGAAATCATCTCCCAGCAAGAATTGGTGTTCTAAAAGAAACAAGTCCAAGAATTACAGAAGATGGGTAGCATACAAACTCTACATGGCTCACAGGGAATTGGTTGAAGTCAGCAGTAAAGCACAAAAAAGATGATAGCATTCCTTAAATCAATGTGTCCTCCACATCAAATGCAAACTCAATTACTAAAGGCTGTATTTCCAACCTAGTTTGTATATCGTAGTACTTGTCCTCCAGGAGCCAGGAGGTACCAAGCCTGTCTGCTTGCTCCCAGCACTACCAGCACAAAGCAGGAATAAATGATCCCTGGCATAAATATGAAAACTACCAGACTGAGGACAGGAGCGAGTCCTGGCAAAAGCTGCTGGGCAAAATAAAAACACCAATGATATCTATAAAAGGGAAGATTCTAGGCAGAACTCTGAAAACTGCACAGCATTTTGATGTGGGTATTGCTGCTCTTCCTGAACCTTCCATCTGATCTCTAACAAGCATTACAGAGCTTCCAGAAAACTTCAATCTTTCCATTGCCTGCATTCAGCTATTTCATCCTCACCATCTCCCTCTCCCCTCACAGCTTTCCCTTGAATTTATTTCCTTCAGTACGAACTCCCCCTCTGTGTTTCAACATCAGACATCAAGTTACAGTGAGCTGCTGTCAGAATGTCTGACCACGACCATGACCTCCAAAGCAGTCCTCCTGGGGCCATGAGTGCTCAGATAGCTGCGGACATTTCAGGCACAGCATCTGGCGTGAGAGCGAGAGGATTGTCACGCCCTCTGCAGTGTGTGCTATCCAAGCATGACCAGGTTTCAGGGATACATTTTGATGATATATTTTTTTTTTCCAAGGCTCTGCTGTGGATTAAGGGCAGTTGTTCCTGGAAGTGTTTAATAAGGCTTTGCTGGCACATCTTTAACCAGCTCTATTATTTGTATTATTTCTGGGCTCACAGCAAAGCTCCCGCAAGTTTACACCCAACCATATAGGGATTACTTGAATGCTAAGAAGATGTTGATCAGTTATTCAGGCACGTTTTAATATATCTGCCTGAATTCAATTGTTAGAGAAGAGAGAAGGCTGTGCCATTGGAGGGAGAGATTACAAACTGAGATCTTTTCTCAGTGTCTTGGACATGTGTGAGGCAGTTACATTTCAGCTGTAAAAACTGTTTGCATCATCACATGCTCATGATTTTATATAATGAAATAAATGTTTTTTCTTTTGTAGGTGTTTAGCATTTTGAAGTGTTCAGATATCCAACTTCCCATCCTTATTGCACAAAACCCTTTATGCACATCTTCAGCAGCAGCTGAGCATGAGAAATGCTTTGAAAACATGAAGAAAATTCGGTAGTTATTCAGAAATACATAGAAAACATATAAATCTGGTAGTTATTCAGGAGAAGTAATGGTGATGTGGCAGATTTAACTTGGAGCTTGGCAATTCCTACTGCACATATTCATGTCCACTCTCACGCAAAACTCTGTAACTTAAATTAAAGAAACTAGGAATGCAGCAAGTCATTGACTTCTTCACTGAACAAAAACAAAGTCTTTTGAAGATACACTATCAAATGATAACTATCGAAGTAACATGAGAGTCTAACCCTTACAGTGTTCCTGTGGTGTCTAACCAATAAATAGTAAAAATCTTACAAACAATAAGGAAATAATGACGACATAAACCTTAACACCATAATTAGAAAATGAGTTTTTTTTTTCCTGATTTGCTTAGGTTAGAGAATCAGTGAACTTTTATTGTCATGATCATATAAAGAAAAACACACATAAAAATATTCTTGTCTCAGATGGGCTTAATTGCCATGTTTGCTTTCCAGTTTTTATAACTCACACTTCAAATCTCCAGGGGGAAAAAATGCTATAACAGCTGTTGATTTGTATGAACTAACTTGCAAAAATGTTCTCCTTCCTATCCGTCAGGGAGAAGTCTTAGTAAACATGAGCCAGGGAAACATACTCCCTTAGAAAAAGTCATCTTCGTGGCAATCTGAAAAACCGTCCGTTGTGAAAGGAAGTCATTTCAGCATTATAGTTTTTTCCTTAAAGGGTAAATCTAGTCATGGTGAAACCAGACAGACCACCTGAGAGGACTCCAGTGCTGTTTCTCCCTCTCTGTCAAGACTGTACCTCTGAAATCTGACTGCCAAGGCATTGCTGGGGCTAGGAAAGTTCCTCTATTTGGCCTGGCCTGGCCTGCGTTTCTGAGCACTGCGCACAGCTCAGCTCTGGCTACCTGGCTTCCCTTTCTGCATGGACAACTGTTGCTGACAACCTAGTCAAGATCTGCAACTCCCTTCACATACAGTAACACTCAGCTGTACACAACACCTTCCAGCTAAAACCACAGCTAAATGAAAGACAAATGTTGGCAATAAATAAGGACAGGACAGGACAGGACAGGACAGGACAGGACAGGACAGGACAGGACAGGACAGGAAAGGAAAGGAAAGGAAAGGAAAGGAAAGGAAAGGAAAGGAAAGGAAAGGAAAGGAAAGGAAAGGAAAGGAAAGGAAAGGAAAGAAACCCACAACTCTGTAGTTTTAAAATTTGTTTTTCCTTCATGTTTCGATAAGTGTGTAAACATCTGGAAGACCTCCTATCTTCTGATTTAAAAAACAGCTTTTCTTCTGGGAGATGAGCCTACCCTCAAACTACAAAATTTCTCTGTTGAGAATTAAGAAATTAATGAAACA